CCAAAGCAACTCTCTGGGTCTTAATTTGAAAGATACTTACTAGCAAATTGTATTCAAGCTGTGGATCCTACTGTGAATGAATATTTGATAACTTAATTTATATATTTGTTTGCCTTGATTTGTTTAAAATCCTCCAATAACATACCAATGTCTCTGCCTAGAGGTGAGCAAGACTAACCAGATATCAGATATTGTTCTGACCAATGTACATCCACATAGAGAGACAGGTTCAATCAGATGGTCCATGTCAGTTTAATTTATAATTTATACAGTTTAATAATTAAAGAAAATAAACCATAATCCCACCACAGGAGACAAAAACAAACTTACGGAGGCCACTCCCTGTGGAAGCCATTCAGTGTCTTCTCACACTGCCATCTACAGAAAAGAATGGAGAGTTTGGAAAAAAGTTATGTATATTTTTAAAACAAAACTGCATTAGAGGATTTACAGTACATAAGTGCATAAATTTGGTCATTTAATTTGTATTTTTGGGGCCTTTTATGAGATTTCCTTAACTGAAAACTTCAGGTGTGCGTGGCTGAGGGCAGTTAAGTTTGTTGTGACATCACAAAGTTCCAGAAGTCCTGACAGCTGGTTTTAAGGCTAAGTTTCTGAATACAGGCTGTGTGCATTTTTCTGTGGAATGAGCGCTTTGATACTTTCACAGTATTAATATAGAACCTAGACCTGATCTATAATCAAACTACACATGGACATCTACCTTTATACTATATGGTACCTTTAAGATGCGTTTCATGCTCTTATAACATATTCTCTGGGTGTGCCTGCTCCACATTATCCAGCTTTATCCTTGTGCTGTTAACAGTGTCGGCTCACTTAGTTGATCTGGGTGCTTATTCGCTGCTCTGTTGTTTTTACTGCATTCTGTCCTGTCCTGCACTTTTTATTTAGTCTCAGCATCGAGCTCGCTCAGCCAACTAATCTCCCAAAATCCCCGTCATGGTCTCAGCATTCCTTTCACTTTTGACCTGAACTGGGTCCAACTGGTCCAACTCATTTCATTTCATTAATAAAGTTCATTCTCCTGTACAGAATCTGTCATGCACACATTATGTTACAAAACCACCTTGTTTCAACCTGTAGTAATGCAACTAGTAGGTCATTTAATGACAGATTCATATAGGCCAACATAATCAATACACAAAATAAAGTATAACAAAATACATAAACACTCAGATAATCAGTTTTAGTTTGAATAAAAGGCAGATGATGCACATAAATAGACAGCATAAAATAGATCAAAAAGTCAAGGGAGTTCTGAATTGAAATATTCACGCAGCTCTACATGGACGACAGTGTTTTTCTGATATCTACGATGTAATATATTCAGTCATTAGGATTATGTAGGCCCAGATAAAATTCACTGTGTGTCTGTGTCCTACCAGACATATTTTCATGTCATCTCGTCAAGTGATAACTGGCAGCATTTTAGTTTGAAAGCAAATGTGTGGTGAATATTCCCATGATTCCTTCCTTCCCATATACACATTTAATATATGTATATGTATTGAATTTCCACATATAAAATATATGTTTTTATTTTACATATATACATAGATGTATAAAAAAATATATCAAACCTATAACAAATTGAAACTATTTCATATATTGACATTTATATCTAGCAATACAATTATATACATTTATGTATGTATGCTTATATTGTAGGCATATGTTGCATAAATATAATAAGCCTGTCAATATATGTCAGAGACCAGTTTCCCCAGAATGTGAAGTTAGACATGTTTCAAATGAATGAGAAATTAATAATAAAAACATATAAGCATATAGATTTTGTATATGTATATGTATGCAATAAACTTTATTATAATTAATAAATTGAATATATAATCTTAACACCTTTTTACATAGAATACATATGTGCTCTATGTAGATATTTTTAATATGTATATATACAAATTTTACTATGGGTATTTCATATATGTTATAAACTTATATCTTCATTTATTCAGAAGCTGTATATATATGATAATAATATATCTCCTCATAGGAAACATCACTCTTGATAGGGACTTACATGTATATGTAATATATTACATTTCTATATGGGTTCACTGTAAACATCCACATCCACACAAAGGTCCATGTATTACAGCAACTGCATGGAAGTGTCAAACTGTGTTGTCTTATTTTGCAATGTTAAATACATAGACATATATGATCAATGAACTTCCTTCATACATCTTTAAAAGTTCAAGTAAACAATAGGGTAAAGAAGCATCTCTGAAATCTCAAAAAAAAAAAAAAAACTTAGGAGATGTCTCTGACCTGTTGCAGGATCATCCCTGGTCAGTGCCGCTGGCTGCTGCAGAGCTGGAACAGATCATACGGTCCGGGAGCTTGCTGCTGTCCCCCCCTGCACACCACGCTGCAGTGATGAAAGCAACAATTGAAGCCAGAGTCAACTCCCTGTGACGCTCACCTGCCCCTCCTCCCCTGCTCTCTCTCTCTCTCTGGATCCTTTTTGTCCTGTCACTTGATCAACTGTTTAGCTTTTCTTAAAGGTCCATTGCCACTTAACGTTCTGCCAGATTGTCTTTGTGCCCTCCCAGCTGGTGCCTTTTACCCTCATTTCTGCCTTTTGCATCTGCCAGTTTTTTCATCTCCTGTCTGGTTTTGCACTTTGACCTTTCACCTCGTTCGTCTGGTTTCATGCCTGCTTGCTGCTGCCATTCCCCTCTCACCTGCCTTCATTTGTACCTCTGTGAATAAAGGTGAACTGTTTATAAAGGAGTTATTTGTAAGTTTTGCTATTGCTACATAGCTAACATTAACATTAACAGCTAGTTACTTACCAAGTGATGAGACAGGCCGGCTGGGCTTGAGCTAGCTGGTTAGCATTCTATCTTCAGTAGAGAAAAAGACGTGATGGTGTGACAGTGGTGTTTGTTTCCACCTCTGGAGACAGCTGTTGGCGAGTAAAGGGATGAAGTTTGATGCTGAACTAGCTGCTAATGCTAATGTTAGCTATGTAATAATAGCAAAACTTGCAAATGGCTCCCATAATTCATTGGCTGTTCGGCCATTGCAAAATTACATAGCCTAGTGTAAGTTGTCTTTTCCTAAGTCCTCCTTCACATCTTTCCTTGACCTCACGACGTTCTCCATCAAAGTCAAGGAAAAGTGGTTAGGAGAGGACATAGGATGTAAGTTTTTTGACTATTTGACCACAGCCAGAGTCTCACAGGATCACCTGATTTGGCCCAGTATCGTGTCATGCCAAGTGGAGGAGCAGCAGAGCTTCACCACAGAGTCAAAATGTTTTCTGTCCCGTGTAATGTTACTAAGCCTCGTTCATCAAACTTTGATCAGGCCAGTTTAGCTGCAGGCCACAAGGACAGCACATCAGGAAGAGATTCATCATCAAACAACAAACCACTTGCAGCTCAGCTCTGGACTCATTACTGACATCACTTACACACCCGGGAGCTCACACACAGAAGTTTGTAGGTTTAGAATATGAATATTCTCCGTGGTCTTGTGTGTTCCCTGCTCAGGTTCTGAGGCATTAATAATCCACAGCTCCAGCTCGGTTTCCCGCCTCAAATTACACAGACCTAGCCAGGAATAAAATGGAGGGGCTCCCTCACAATGACCTCCTCGAAAGGGAAGGAAAAAAAAAAACTACAGTACCCAGCAGCAACTTCTACAATGCAAAACTGAAGTCATTTACAGCAGTTATCACAACACGTTCAGCTGTCAGTCATCTGTATGTCAATATCATACGTTTTCTGAATTGATCCATAAGAAGATATATTTGTGGTTCTAAGAACCAAAAACCATCTCAGTGTAGTTTTACATCTCCTCTCTGAGGTTTCTCTCTGGAGCTCTAGTAACAACAGGTCAGTGAGCCAATCAGAAGAGGTTAGACATAAAAATTAAATGTAGAGAACTTAAGGGTCTGTATTTGTAAATATAATCAATAACCCATTGCATTTTACTCTATATTCTCATAACCTGTAAAGCATACGACAGCAGTGGATGCTAATCTCTAAAATGACTGACATTGGAATACGTTTATCATAAACCGATAGCATGATCCCTGCTTAACCTGAACAGCTACTGACAACAAACGCTCTCCTTCTCTATTGCTGCACTGACACGATCCATTTTTGTCCCAGTCTCGCCTCCTCACCGCTCTGATTGTCTTCATTGTGATGTCCATCTTGAGTGATGTCTCCCATGTTGTCCTCCTCGCTTCCGTTGTGCTCGGGTCCTCATTGAAAAGGCTGGACAGAAGACATGTTTATCTTTCTGCAAGGCAAGAGAGCAGTTCAATCATTTGATGTCATTACCCAGACTGCATTGCGATGTAAACAATGGCGGCTTACAAGTTAAAGGATTTTTTTTCCAAATTTTATGATATAAGAGAGTGTTTCTAATATCACATTTATACAGCTGATGCCAATGTTGATCTAATAAGGCCCACAAATATATCTTCACTTCAAATGGAAGTTGATCAACACTTCAAAATAAAAGCGTAAAATATGGGACCTTTAAAGATGTAAATGAATACTGAGTCGCCTCTTATTCTGAAATCTAATTGATCTGCTGTTGTCTTGACACGTCCTCAACACTTACTAGTTCATATTTATAAAACAGTAATATACAGTGTAACAATAAGATTATAGGCATAATTTATAAGAGAGTATATTTACATTTTATATTCTTTAAGGAGCACTCCACAGACAGCTCACTAACTGGTCCGGACCACTGGACTCAGCACTCTTACTGGCGACCAACCAGTGCTATGAACTCCAGTTTACTGAACAGTAAGAGCACCATCTAGTGGCACAACTGGGTACTACAGCAAACTACAGCCCATCCGCACTGTCAGTGAATCTATTTTCAGCTATTTAAGGATGATTGATGATAATAACCATGGAATATCTCAGTGCAACAATTTATTGTACATGTGTACATCAGTTGCAGAACACATGATGAGACAACAAATGTGAGTGTCTTTGAAGCCGTGGATCCACGGATCAGATCCTTTGAAAGTCTGTCATAAAAACATCTACGTCCAGGACTTAAGGCTCGTCGTCTGTGTGGCAGTTCCTTGCTGGTGTTCCTCGGGGTGGGCGAGGAGCAGGGAGAGTCACTGTGGTGGGAGGGGGATGCCCCGGGGGTCGGTGACCTGACCCTCCTGCAGGTTTTTGACCAGCTGGGCCAGCCAGCGTTTGGTGGTGGTGTCGTCCTTAAGGACCTGGGCGAAGGTGGTGTCTTTGAGCTGGTCCGGGAGGCACTGCCGTAGAGCTTCTCTGGCTCTGAACACACAGGAGCAAACACAGGTCAGACATGGAGGACATGCTTCTGCCACATGTGATCATCATTAGGGTTGAAAAGTATGACATCATACACCGTGACCACAGAGTTTAATACTATGTATGTACTGTATGTGTGTATATGGAGAGTTCAATTAAAGAAGTCATAATTAAATTGTGAAAACACAAAACATATTTTTCTTAGTTAATGAGAAAAATATTTTTGCTGTGTAACCCTTAATCTAATCTCAGTTTGGGTTCATTTAAGATCAGCCTCTTTGATAAATCTTATAGCTGAAGCTGAGACAGTTGAGTCCTGATGCTGCTATAGGCCTAGACTACTGCAGGAACTCCCATGATGCACTGAGCACTTCATCAGGCTCCATCTTTAACTTTGTGTCTTCTCCAATTGTTACTGTATAATAATGTTATAATATAATAATGTTAAGTTATATTATATTATTATAATATGAAGTTTATAATTATTATATCATATAAATAACACATACTTTTCTGTCATAACACCAGCACAATATTATCACATTCACTTGTTTCCTTTCCCGCTGTTTCATTTCATTCTGTTTGTGTGCTGCGTTGCATCGTGTTGCAACAGCTCCAGAAAAAGAACAGGTTTTTGGACTCAGTACCTGGAGTTGTCAGACAGGCGTAAGTAACAGCGGACTACATGCTTGAGGAGGCGGGCCGACGGCTCTTTGGACAACTGGAGCACCATTTTACCCTGAAACACAAGGACAGAGTCAGAGAGAATTACCAGATATAAACATATTACATCAGAATAATTCACTTACTCACTTGGTGACTTACCAGAATCATAGCAACATGTGAGAAGCGCTCGTATGTTTGACAGATGTAGGCAAGCCCTGTGTCGTCCAGCAGAATCTTCTGTAGGATGAAGGTTGCAACCTGAAAAACAATAAGTCCAAATTCTTTTAAGAGAAGTTTCTTGTCTGTAGTTCACTCCATCCAAAGAAACAGTGAACACTAAAACTGACAAACACCTCTGTCATTCATTCATAGAAATAGAGGAAATAGAACGCCTTTATTGCCACCGTATTTAAAATACAACGAACTTAGGAGTGCTACTCCTGATTGGGGCATGTAAGTTAAAAAGAACACATTGCACACAATATACAACACTGTTAAAAAAAACACCTAGTATAGATTAAAAACAATTAAAACCAATAAACTCAAAGTGCCAGTCTTAAGTAGTTATTGCACATTCACACATTTTCATTCTGTATGTTGATTGAGTGTGTGAATGACCTCAGGAAAGAAACTGTTCAGGAGTCTGTTGGTCTGAGTTTTTAATGACCTGCAGCATCTACCTGAGGGCAGAAGGTCAAACAGGAAGTGTCCAGGGTGAGAACAGTCTTTGACCATGTTTAAGCTCAGGAACATAGAAGTAGCAGAACCCTGTGGCTCTGCTTTTTAACTCATTCAAGTGATCCTTCCACACTGAGATACACAGGGACTGAACAGTGAAAACCTCTAGAAGAGGCATTTTATATATTTGCCCTATAGCACCTCAGGGTTTCAATTTAGATTTTGATCTTACACCTTTTTTTGTAAGTGGTAATAGTTGAAGTATTGACAGATTGTTTTTATAGACATCTTAATGAATCTGATCGTCTCTGCCAAAATATATTTTTATATGCATTCTTCTATTTAGTAGTTTTTATGATCATTCCGTTTTGGATGACTTATGTGACTCATGATTTGTATTTGATGTATTTCATGTGTCTATATGACTTTGAAATTGGGGTCTGAGTACCGTTTTGGAGAGCTCGCTGCCAGACTCCATGATCCGAAGGCACAAGGGAATAATCTCTGTGGTCAAGAGGAAGTTGATCACTTCCTGCTCGTCTGTTTTCACCAAAGCACCTGGACAGCGTGGACACATGGAAGCAACACTTAAACACATTATGTACTGAAGCAAACAGAACAGTAAAGTGGAAGGAAGGTTTCTCACCTATGACTCCTAGGCTGGTGAGGCGGAGGTACTCAAATGGTCTCGTTTTACTCACTGTGTGTAAGAAGGGGTAAAGGAAGAGGGGGATGTGAGCAGCTAGGAAGGCTGACCTGTAGAGGACCAAACATCCACACTGTCAAATCTAACGGCTTATTAAATGCCTCATTAGTTAGAAAGAAATTAATTAATTTTTATAAAGAAATGCATTTACCTTGTCTCTGGATGGGAGGCTACACACTGGAGTAGCGCCAGGGCGTTACATACTCTGTTGGACTGGTGTGCTGTGAGGGTGGGGGGGTTGATTGATGGGTAGATGTTGACAATTTCCTGGCAATTACAGAAATATATATATATTAGTATATTTAGGAGCAGCTGAAATCTAGTTAGCTTTCCCACATGTGTAAAACCTTGCTGTGGTTTACCTGCAGCAGGGCCGCTATGGTGCCACATGAGTGCCACAGCATGGGGGCCAGGTCTGGGACCGACTCCCTCTTCTTGCTGAGCTCCAGGAGGGCGTTCTCCCTGGTCTCTGGACTGGACAGCTCGTTGATCCACTGATAGATCTTTTCTCTGTCCACTTGTGCCAGCGCTGTGGTTACAGCCTGCACATATTGTCAATCAATAAATCAGACTTTATTTGTATATTACTTTTCATACAAACAATGTAACACAAAGTGCTTTACAGAATAAAAGCAATAAAACACCCCTCCACCCCCTCTCTCACACACACACACACTCATTTACACACAGAACAATAAATGACCAAGTAATAAAAAAATTTAAAAAAATAAGACAATAATAACAGGAACTGAGGAAACACGAAACAAGACCTTTAAAAGCTTTAAAAATCAATACAGAAATGCTATCAACCAGAAAAACCTGTACTCTCTTGTACAGAGACAATGTCCATCTCATAACAGCTGCTGCTGCTGCAGTTTACATCGAGTAAACGTTAATATGAAATGTACTTCTCTAATTCATATTGTCTGGTACAGTTGACATTACACCCTTCACCAAAAGTCATCATTGTACATGAATATGCGATGCAAAATGTACCACATACTTCTCGAATTAAACAGTGAACAGTTTTAAATCCTAACATGAACACTGAACTGGAGAAATGCTGAGTGTGGAGTAAATTTCTACCTTAGCAACTTGAATATGGTTAGAATTAGACAGCCAGGGTAACTTACATGTAGGTTAGCTCAAGCTAGCTAACTAGCTAATATTGAAAGTTAATAGTCGTGTCTACTTACTGCTCCCGTGGCCAACATTGTGTGCAGCGCTTGAATTTAATCCAGTAAGACCTTTAAAAAAATGTGCTATTAAAGTTGAAGTCTTTGGAAGAACTGAAATAGAAATATTCTCCTGAAATACTGATGATGTTTGGCTTCATTGGCGTCCAGCTTCTGGTTCTTCTTCTTCGTTTGTTTTTATTACAGGTGCATACCGCCTCCTACTGTACTGGAGTAGATTGTATGAGCTCTTCTTCGTTTTAATTGGATCTGTAATTTTCAGAAATCAGGTTATTTAAAAAAAAAGACATAATACTACGAGGATTAAAAATGTAAATTTTCGAGGGACAAAAACATAATATCTAGTAATATTACAAGCAACCAATCAAACAGGTAAAAGGACAGTCAGTGGGAGCCTGAGCTGCTTCCGGCAGCTGCTGTTTGTCTGTGTAACAATAGAACAGACTCAGTTTCTTCACAATCTTTTCAATGTCCCGCTGCTGCTGCTGCTGATGATGATGATGATGATGATGATGCTGATGCTGATGCTGATGAGCCAAAAGATGAAGTATCTCTTTATTTTTGAAACCTCTGCTAAAGTAGAACTTCACAGGATGCTCCATGTTCATCACTTTAAAGTTTCTTATATTTCTCCTCTAAAACAACCCCTAATCTTGAATTACCACTTTATTCTTCTAATATTATGACCTTTTTTCTTGTAAAAATTGTAAATTATAAATAATATAATTACTTTATTTCTTGTAAAATTATGATTTTATCCTCAAAATTCCAACTTTATTCTCAAAATATTATGACTGAAATGAAATCTAGCTAGCTGCGCCGCGTAGCGATACACAAATCATCTGCATGTTTGTAGTTCTTCCACTTCAGGTCGGAAGAAAAGATATATCTGCTGAATATATAAAATATCTACAACAGCTGAACCAATAGTTACACTGCATCAAGACAATCAATGTAAAGAAAAAACTACATATCAATATGGTGACCATGGGGACATCATGCAGGTATCCCTCCACTGTGAAAAACAGTTGTTTTGTTGTTTACACATCATTTCATGTTTCATTAATAATCATCATTTGAATATAGTCCCTATCGGCTTCCAAAGAACACCTATATGTGAAAATGAAAATGCAAATTGAATTATTGTATTTTTGTCTTTATTTTTACTCAACACATACATATGTGGAAAATTATAATGCTATTGTGGAATTACATTTTCATTTTCAAGTTTGCATTAGCATTTGAATATAGTCCTCTATAGGGTTCCATTAATCCTGATACAACATCTATAAATGTACTGGTAACAGTACATTAGCAGTGGTTAAATGTAACCACTGTACTTGAGTGTGCTGTGTGCATTCAATAGTAGATGGATTCCAGTTTGTGAGAGGGGAACATTTTATTAATACATGTGTATGTGTGCAGTATATACAGATACAATATCTGTAGGACATTTATATTAAATTGAAGTTTGTGTAACTTGTGTGACTTAAGGTCACAAATTCAACTTTTACTCTAGCTTCACATTCAATTCAACTTTCAATTTACCAACAAAATGTAAAAAAGAACAACAAAGACGAGTCAAAGCTCAGGTATGTGGAGGTGTGACAGGATGATTCCTTATCCGATTCCTCTGGAGATGAAAGAGATCGACAGTAAAAAAACACTTTCCTATGTTTTCTATGCAGCAGTTGAAGGTTGAGCTCTGTTTTCCTCACCTTGCATCCTGGACGAGAGAGACCCCCGGCCTGGACCATTGGTGACCCACCAATGTTCTGTAGGTCTCTAGTTGTGGAACCAGGATGGCATCCTGCACACAGAGGCACAGTTACACTTGAGTGTTTTTTAACCTGAACTTCACACACACACAATCTGTACGACAAATGTGAGAAGAAAGGTTCTTCTGTCACAAAAATGAAACCACAAGTAGTCTAATAACAAGTCTAACTATTACTATTTACGACTTCCCTCTGGAGTAGATTCAAGTTATTCACCGAGACACAGTTGGATTTCCATTAATATCATATTCCTTTATATGTTACTTTGTCATAAAATATTCAATTATGAAATGTAACGTATGTATCAGAGGTGACCTGAAGAAAGGGTCCTTGAGGTCCAGGATGTTTCCAGATCTGAAGCCTGATTGGTCGACTGTGGCTGTGATGTGGATGTCATAGCTCTGCCTGGAAGGAGGAAAAGACAAAGGATGGTGATGATTTGATGACACAAAAAATATATATAATAAATTAAATAAGGTTAATAATAATATAATAATAATAATAAATAATATATATGTGTGTGTGTGTGTACGATGACCGCTGTGTGTGTCGTGTTAGCATGTGTGTGTGTGATGTGTGTTGTGTGTGTGTGTGTGTGTGTGTGTGTGTGTGAGTCTATGTAAAGATTCTTATAAAATAAAGTAAAAAGGTATTAAATTCTATAGACATTTTTTTAAATATATATTCATATACAAATTTTACTATGGGTATTTCATATATGTTATAAATGTATATCTTCATATATCCAGAGGATGTATATATGTGATAATAATATATCCACTTATAGGTGACATATATGACAACATCACTCATGACATGTGTAACATTTCTGTCTCTGGTCCAGTTCTGAACCAAACAATAAGAAGAGATAAACCAGTACGACAGTGACAGAATACCGCCACCGCTGCGACAGTGTGACGTTTGTAGATACACACTCGGAGGTCCAGGTGTGAGCACAGGTGTACCTGCTGTTGGCGGCCAGCAGAACAGTCCCAGACAGAGTTTGCCCCAGCTTGGCAAAGAGCGGTGTCTGAAGCAAACACCTGACCTGATACCAGCGGGTCAGAGGCTCAGTGGGAGCTGTGGAGAGCCACACTGCTGACCTGCAGAGAGATTACATCACTACACACTGAATTCCAGTGAATATTCTATGTTGTCGGAGTCATGACTTAACATGAGTCTCAACTGCTCCGAATGTAATGTATTAAAAAGCTTTTGCAAGATTTTGCAAGAGACTAGAAGAAAGTCAGACATACGTGGATCCCAGATAAGCAACATCGAACCAAAAGGCCAGTCCGTGAACCAGACCAGACTGCAGCAGTGTAAACACAAAGGGAATCTCCATTCTAGAAGCAACACAAAAATGTTTTTTTTTTTAACAATGACGTTAAGCACATCTTTTTCCCTTATCTCATCCAGCATTGCTCGTGTTCTTTGTGTCCTTTGTTGTATTGTTTTACTATCTGCTGCTGAACCAGAACAAGGATTAATCCATCTTGGGAATAGTGCAGGGGAGACTGGGTCGGGTTAGGGTTAGGGTGGGGATGGACGGACAGGGACGAATTGATCAAAATGCATCAGAAATTCTTTTGAAAATAGTTTTATAGTAAATTTAAATGCTGAACTTTTACCTGTAATAGGGTTTATTGTTATAGGTGGTATTTTTACTTGACCTCAAGTGAAAGATTTTAACACTTCTTCCACCAGTAAATGAATGAATGCAACTTCAGACGCTTCAAAAACATGCTTGATAATCAACTATGATAACCTGTGCAGATCCTCTTCTTTAGCCTCCTTGAAGTTGATGCAGTGCTTCACAGACCTGGCCATCAAGATCTGCACATCAAATGTGTCCTGAAAGAAACATTAAATAAGGAAGTTTAAAAATGAGTACTATATGTTTTTTTACTCCATTTGGGGCATTTGTTCTTCAATAGCAGACAAAGCCCATACACAAAAGTAATATACTGTATGTCCATATAATGAAATATATGTACATATATGTAAAAATATTGACATATATGTCTAGCCCATACAAATATATATGTTTATGTACGTATGCTTATATTGTAGACATATGTCACATAAATATATATCAATCCCAAAATTTGTCAATATATGCTGATATTATGAACAGAAGGATCCAAAAGTCTGAGACCTCTTTCCAAGACTGTTTAAACTTAGTGAGAAAGTAAGAAAAATGTATATGAGCATATAGATTTTTGATATGTATGTTGTTATAATAAACTTGCATATATAAATGAAATAAATAATACATTAAAAACTTGAAGATCTCCACTGCAGTTAAAAACAAAGTTCTGTTTGGCTTGTTTGGCTATATAACATCCACTTGTGATAAGATGCTGATATTGTGGTAACCGGTTTGATATACACAGTGAATGGACCTTACCACTATAGGCTGCCTGAAGAACTCATCCACTGCAGCACCGTGAAGAGCACTCAGGTTAACACCATAGAAGCTTCTCTGCTGCCTGAATAAGGACAAATAAAGTCAGCTGATTGATACATGAGCTAATCATTTCAGCTGACACATTTAAACACATCTTACCATGTGACCACTGAGTCTCTAACAAGCGATGAGTTTTCATCCTTCACAGTGATTATATCACGTAGGCAGAAATTCTACTATTTTTGAAATGTGACATCAGTTTATAGTTTACCTTACATTCCTCAAGGCTGACTGAGCCTGACCTGCACATAGTGGTGGAACAGTGAAGCTACCACACACACACACACACACACACGCTCGGATGCTTGCATACACTTACTGTATGCACAACAGAGTGTGTATTGTTTGCAGAAGAACAGGATTGTAACACAATACAAAAAATATTCAGTGGTACAAATGAATAAATTAATGTATCAAAAAATGATTCATATGGGTTGGATGTCTATACTACTAGTCTAAAGGTATATGACCATGTGTAGTGTGATTATAGATCAGGTCCAGGTTCTATATTAATACTGTGAAAGTATCAAAGCCTCAGTCCACAGAGAAATGCACACAGCCTGTATTCAGGAACTGAGCCTTAAAACCAGCCATCAGGACTTCCTGAACTTTGTGATGTCACAACAAAGAAGTCACCGCTCTCAGCCATGCCCCAAGCCCCGCCCACCTGAACCCACCATCCAACCTTGCAGGATTTGGTTTCTCTGAGTGTTTTACCTGAAATCTGCTATATTTTTATTGGACCGTGCAGAAAACTGTCAGCCAATCAGAAGAGAGGCTCAGAACCTCCTTTCTTCTGATTGGCTGAAATAAATACACAAATGACATGATCATCCACATTCAGCCTAAATAAGGTTATTTTTCACCAAAAAAAGAACAAGTTTTTGAACCACTGTTCCTCTTTTAAATATATTGGATACCACTTTACAATAAGACTACCTTTATAAAGCACTTATTATTTATTATTATTAATTTAGTTGTTACCACTTTATAAATCCTAAATAAACAATTATAAACAAGTTATAACACAGTTTTCATACACTGATGCAGGTTCACTATTTGGCAAGATCAAGTTGATGCTTACTACTCATTAATCTTATTAAGGACTTACTACTATTTAAAACTGGTAAAAGGAGCCTTATAGTAACTCATTGCTAAACTAGTTATAAACCATTCATAAATCCTTTATAAGGGTCTTACTGTAGAAAATATCAGCCTCAACTCAAACTTATCGGCCTGGAAAAAGCTCCTATCAGTCAAATCTTAGTTGGTCTGTATGAGTCAGGACTGGACTGAACCCGAGCGTTTTACACCCAACAGGAAACATGCCTGACTGAGGTCAAGCAATGAGAACACTGTGTGTGTGTGTGTGTGTGTGTGTGTGTGAGTTATAGAGAGAAAGAGAGAGAGAGAGAGAGAGAGAGAGAGAGAGAGAGAGAAAGAGAAAGAATGCGAGCCAGTGTGTTTGTGTTGTCATGCATGGATTTATGCCTGTGCGTGCGTGCATGCATGCGTGTGCATGCATGCGTGTGCGTGTGTGTGTGCGTGTGCGTGTGTGTGTGTGTGTGGTGAGAGAGAGAGACCAGAAAGTGGCTCGTGCGTAGTGTTCAAAGTAGAGCTGCTCATCACTGAAGGGAGCCAGATGAATGTCACCACAGGAGGGAAACATCAGACCTGGAGAGACAGAGGAAGTGAATATGAGAGAGAGAGAGAGAGAGAGAGAGAGAGAGAGAGAGAGAGAGAGAGAGAGACAGAGAGAGACAGAGAGACATGGTTTTTTAATAATTAATGGACAGGGAGTTTCAGTGGCTTTGTCCAACACTATAATTCTTGTTTATAAAAGCTTGGATCTTATTTTGGTGGTTTTACTTCCTGCCAGAAAAAACTACAAAAATAAGACCCGAGCTCTAACAAAGCAAAATGACAATGTCTCCACTCCTACCATTGGGTTTGAGCCACTTCCTGGCATGCAGGAAGCTCTCCATCAGTCTCTCGTTGAGCAGCATGTAACCTATGGGCTCAGAGACGATGACATCCACCATGTCGGGACAGCTGACCTCCTCCACCTCCCCCTCCAGGACCCTGATCCGCTCGGACAGACTGTTACTCTGGACCATGATCTGCACAGGAGACAGAAACACACACTGTAAAGACATGTAACTAAAGAATCCTCATATGTGTACACAGGACCGTGGAGGTATCTGCTACACCAGGCAGTATACAGTAAACACACTGCACTTCTTAGAGACCAGAGTCCAGTTAGTGGACGATCAGCTCCTGCACTTCCTGAGCCACAACCTGTATATGCATTATATATAGAGGTTTACAGATATATTGGAAGACCAAGCCCCTCCCTCCAAGTTCCAGACCGACAATCAGCTGCTGGTGAACCAACCAGATGTGTCAAACCAAGCTAACGGTAACATCAGGAAGAAGGAGCACGAGAAGATCCAGACGCACCAGGGGCTGAAAGAACAACTGGAACAGATGTGGTGGGTGAGGTCCAAGGTGGTCCCCGTGGTAATAGGAACATCTGGGGCTGGGAACCCCAAACTGGGAGTGGCTCCAGCAGATTCCAGGCACAACATCTGAGGACACTGGACAGAACCCTCAAACTCCCAGGCCTCTCATTGAGGACCCCAGCTTGAGGAAGACACACTAGCTCTGGCTAGCTCTGGGGGGGTAACCAGAGCTAGCCAGAGCTAGCCAACATTCTGCTAGTTTTTAGCATGTTTCTCAGTTGGTTGGCCTCCAGTCAACTGCTCCTGTGGTTAACACCAGGCCTGCGAGCCACCGCCTTCCCTTCGAGTCTGATAGCATCCACCCTGCTGCTCCTGGAGCTACCATCCAGCCAGATCCTGGCCCCGAAGACCACCAGCAGTCACCTGTCCTTTCCAGGATGGATCTAGGGCTCAGAGCCCCCGAGAAAGAAGCTTGGCTAACAAAGCTCAGCTGCCCATTGTGACTACCTACTGTGGCGCAGATGAATGTGACACCCTGTGAAGCCTTTGTTTTTACTTATCATATTATCATATTGATGATATTTAAAGGAGGAAAAAATCCCATGTAAATGCAGCCAATGATTAGGAAACATGAGTGTCAGTAAATAGATTTCTGTGATGATCAATAGTTCATCATATTGGAGACCTGTGGATCTTCAGTATAACAGGCAGATGTAATCCCCATATATCGGTATAATCTCTGTTCTGTGTGTATCAGCGTCTCTCTAGCCCCTACCCTTCTGAACTGTGGGCCAGATGTTGCTGCAACCCATTAACTCCCCAGAATGCCATGCTCTGCATGTGATGTATGTACCCTGTGTGGGCGTGTGTATGTGTATGTGTATGTGTGTGTATGTGGGTATGTGTGTGTGTGTGTGTGTGTGTGTATGTGTGTGTGTGTGTGTGTGTGTGTGTGTGCATTGCTGTGGTTTCTCTTTAGGCTCTAGCAAAGCCAATACACACAATATTATTCTCCGGCCTCTACATGTGAGCTCATAGTCAGGAGATTCAAATCTTTAGTAGTTTAGTTACAGAGACTCAAACAATGGTTTCATTTCTGTAGAGAAGAAGACCAGTTGTGAAACCTGTGTGTGACATCACTGTGTTTTAAAGCGGACAATGTAATGAGAGGACAGGGGATTTAAATGTTCCATATTTTCCTCTTCTCCTGTGTTTTATTTTGAATGTTTGATATTCATAAGAAGATATATTTGTGGTTTTAAGAATCAAAAACATCTCAATGTAGTTTTACATCTCCTCTCTCAGGCTTCTCCCTGGAGCTCTAGTAACAGGTAACAGTAACAGGTCGGTAAGCCAATCAGAAGAGAGGATCTGAGCCTTTCTTCTGATTGGCTGACTGTTTTCTGAGTGATCCAATAAAAATATAGCAGAATTTAGGTAAACACTCAGAGAAACCAAATCCTGCAAGGTTGGATGGTGAGTCCAGGTGGGTGGGACTTGAGGTGGTGACTGCTTTGTAGTGACATCACAAAGTTCAGGAAGTCCTGACGGCTGGTTTTAAGGCTCAGTTTCTGAATACAAGCTGTGTGCATTTCTCTGTGGAGTGAGGCTTTGATACTTTCACAGTGTTAATAAAGAACCTAGACCTGATCTATAATCAAACAACACATGGACAGCTACATTTAGACTATTTGGACCTTTGAATGTACTGACCTGTGTGTACTTGGCCATGGGGCTGGACTCAACAGCATACACTCTGGTGGCTCCAGCCTGGATGGCAAAGTAAGACAGAATACCAGAACCACAACAAACATCCAGAACCACCTGGAAGAGAGGAGAACAGGTCATGCTGCTGTCAGCTTCTAATCACAACAAACCATTTAAATACATGCAAACTTATTGTATACACTCTTATTATTTTTATCTGAAATTCAACTATTAAATTCATGTCTCTTCATCTGTCTCAGTGAGCTCTGATAATTCCAAATATATAACTGTAGTCTGTGAGTTATGACAACACACTGTAGTCACTAAACTAATATATTAACATGACAATATTGTTACATTGAAGTCTAACAGGACAAGAAAGTTTAGTCTCTGGTTTCATTTCACTAACAGTGTCATTTTAATGGCAAAACTATAAGGCTAATTTCATTCTGTGTGTTATTATTATATCTGGAAAAATTCATCTATAACTCTCAAAGTTTGTTAATTTAGGATAAACTACCGATTTTCAAAATTTAAAGGTCCCATATTTGACACGTTTCCTGTGTTTTATTAGAGGTGCTGATAAGAAGTTATTGTGACATCACAAAGTTCAGGAAGTTCTGACGGCTGGTTTTAAGGCTCAGTTTCTGAATATAGGCTGTGTGCATTTCTCTGTGGACTGAGGCTTTGATACTTTCACAGTATTAATATAGAACCTAGACCTGCTTTATAATCAAACAACAACTGGACATCTACCTTTATACTATATGGGACCTTTAAAGGATGTTGTCAGTCAATTACAAATTGGGTCTGCTCCATATATCACTGGTTTGAATACATTTTAATAAAATAAGTAAAATTGCACTGCACTATGTTACTGTACAAATCTGCTATTGACAAGAATACAGACTTACTAAAGGAGCATTTTACAATATAATGTCTGCTATATAATGCCATCAAAAGTCATGTGTGGGTTGTGTGCTGTCACCTTGTCTCTGAAATCAGTCTCATTGACTAACATGGCTCTCTGATAGGTGGCGGTCCTCATGTAGTCTTGAAGCAGGTTCTGCTGCTGGGACAGACAGCTGTGGAACTAAACACACACACAACAGTTAGCTGCTTGTATTTCCTCTTCTTTTTAGATACAGTCAGAATTATTGTGTCTTACTTGGTAGCACTGTGTAGGCATGTTTTCAGTCAACATTGTGGGATGTCTCCTAGAAGGAGTTTGACTCTCTTCATCCTCACTCCCTCTCTTATTTCTTTCTATGGGCTCTTCTTCATTCTTTCTCTTCAGCAGCTGCTGGAAGTTCTTCATATCTGCACCAAAGAACAATATGTGTGAGCTCCTGACACACAGCGATGAGCAGAATGACCTGTGTGTCACCATATACTGAACGAACCAGTTGGACTTTTGAACTGCAGCAGAAGACTCATCTTGCCGACAGAGACCAGGAAGGACTGACCTCCGACCTGGCAGCAGTCCATTTCTTTGGAAACAGTAAACTGGAAGACTGATGCTCTGTTGCCTAAAAAACATCAATCAATCAATCAAAAGCAAGATATCAATAAGTATGGATCAGATTACCATCAAACCTGGGACATTGTTTAAGTTTTACCTTTAATTTAAACACAGGCCAAAATTTCCTTATATATGTATATATTATATAAAAGTGTTTCCATTATGCTGCCACCAGAGGGGAATATTAAGAATACATTTTAATCATCTACATCCATAGTTATCCATATAGATGTATAGTGATATCTGTATTTCCTAGTTACTTTGCAGACTAAGTGCTACACACTATGCAACAATATTATTATTATATATATTACTTACCAAGTGAATTTTTTTCTTTTTTTGCCAGGATCATTTTTCAAGTTTCTAAATTATTTCTTTCTTCCCTGAAAAAAAAAATTGACTTGCCTCTCGAAGTTGTTTATACAGATGAAAAAAGAACTAGAAAAATGAGCCTGAAAAAAATAAATAAATAAAGAATTCTCTTGTCTTTCATGGCTTCCATATACTGTATATAAAAGAAAAGAAAAGAAAAGAAAAGAAAGGAAAAGAAAAGAAAAGAAAAAAACTTTGCACTGATTATAATTTTACTAATTTACTTCCTACATTTTCCAAAATTTCCAAAATTGTGTTTTGCCTCTCTGTCTTTCGAAAAGAAAATTCTTGGAACAAGTTTGTACTGAATCAGGACAAAATAATTTCACGTTTTTTGTTTTAAGAAGACTTTTTTATACAATATGATACACTGTAATTGACACTGAACTACCAGTACTAACAGTATAAATTGTAGTTTTTACCACCGGCTGCAATCATTGTTATATCCTGCTCCTATGTATGCAAATTGTACTTGAGTAAAGGAGAATATAAATAAGGAAAATGGTATTATTAATGATCAGAGTTGATTGAGAGTGATTCTAATATTCCAGCTCTGGTCGGGTCCTCTTTATCTAAACACTGCACTTTTGGCACACACTCTTTCCACTACTACATCCTTATTCCATGGTATTCTCTGAATAAGCAAGCATAGTGTAAGTGTGTGTGTGTGTGTGTGTGTGTGTGTGTGTGTGTGTGTGTGTGTGTGTGTGTGTTCCTCCAACACTCACCATCCTGCACAGTGAGCTGCTGAGCCTCCAGGCCTGTGGTGAGGAGCAGAGTGAGCTCCTGCTCAGCTCTCTGTCTGCACACACTGATCTGCTGCTCATTGCCTCCCTCCTCCTGGGCCGGCACGTCCTTCAGAACACAACCATATTACACCACGTTAACCAGATCACACCACATGAACCACATTACACCACATGAACCAGATTAAACAACATTAACCGGATTACAACACATTAACCAGATTACAACACATGAACCAAATTACACCACATGAACCAAATTACAACACATGAACCATATTACACCACATGAACCAGATTACATCACGTTAACCAGATTACACCACATGAACCAGATTACACCACATTAACCAGATTACATCACATGAACCAGATTACACTCCATGAACCAGATTACACCACATGAACCAGATTACACCACATGAACCAGATTGCATAACGTTAACCAGATTACAACACGTTAACCAGATTACACCACATGAACCAGATTACACCACATTAACCAGATTACATCACATGAACCAGATTACACTCCATGAACCAGATTACACCACATTTACCAGATTATACCACTTTTACTGGTATTTATACTCACTGATCTGTGTAGTTCATATTATATAGTCATTCAACCACTTTCCTATTATTATTTATTTCTATCTTTTTGAGGTTATTTATTTATTTTCTTTCTTTCTTTTTATTCATTTATATTTTTCTCAGGTTGGGAAGGCGTGCCTACTGTGAATGGGGAAGAAATAACTGAAAAGGGAGAAAGAAGGATGGGAAATCAAGGAAAAGAAGAAAAAGAAGAAAAAAAGGAAGTACATAAAACAAAGGAAAAAAGGAGTAGGTAGCTCCTTGAGGGTCTAGGAATTCAGGTAAGCACTTAGAGAAACTAAATCCTACAAAGTTGGATGGTGGGTCCAGGTGTGCGGGACTTGGGGCGTGGCTGAGAGTGGTGACTGCTTTGTTGTGACATCACAAAAAAGAAGTCAGTCCCAAAGTCCTAACGGCTGGTTTTAAGGCTCAGTTTCTAAATACAAGCTGTGCACATTTCTCTGCGGACTGAGGCTTTGATACTTTCACAGTATTAATACAGAACCTAGACCTGCTTTATAATCAAACAACACATGGACAGAGACCTTTACACTATATGGACCTTTAAAAGATGATGTCAGTTAATTACAAAGTGGGTCTGAAACATAAGCAGACACAATGGAAAAACATTTTTGTACTTACTGTATTCTGTTAGAACTACAGTAAAAAAAAAAAAAAAATGGAAGTGCAATTCAAAGCGTCAAACTCCACAGTACCAGAATGAGAGAAACCCAGACACAGCTTGTCAACTCTACAAGTAACCCAACATTGTCATTCGAGAGATGTGTTTATAGGCACACAAGAAACCAGTACAGCATAAAGTATTTGTGAGTGTGCAGCCTCCAGTGTTACCTCCTCATGCGTCTCCATGTGCTCCTCTCCAGCCCTCACCTCCTCCTGCAGAGTGAAGACCCTGACAGAGAAAGCCGATGACTCCTCACCTCTCTCCTCCATTCTTCAGTGTGAAAAGCAAGCGGCTCTTCGGGGAAGAAAGAACAGCAGAGAACAGAGGAGGAGGAGGAGGAGGTGGTGAGGAGGGGATGGAGGAAAGGGGGAGGAGAGAGAGCTGGAAGAAAATGAGAAATCCAGAGTTAATGTCTGTATTATAACTTGACATTTCTACTTGTAAATCATTTCATGTGTCATACATATGGGATAAGAAAGGTCCCAACACAGTTAAAAACTAAACGTGAACATAAGGTATTGATTCTGATCTTCTTACATACTTGTAATGTAAAGTTTGTCCTGATGGTGTCACAGAAGAAAATCATCTTAGGAGGAAACAAAACCACGTTATAGACATTAATGACATTAACAGAGCAAATACATGACATGACATGTTGTGAAGTTAAATATCAGACATATACCAGATAATGATATGCAGTTCATCTCAATGACATCAGCTACAGTTGTAGAGCTTGTAAATGATGCTTGTCAGTCTCCGGTCAGTCCTTGCCCTCCCTCTGCTGGATGAAAAGCATCACTGCAAGGACACCGAAAAACTTTTATGTGCTGACTGAGCAGATATCTGTGGAAGCCCATTTCCACCAGTAAAAGAAAAAATAAGATAAAAGCGCCTTGATCAAAATAATAATAATAATTATCATGTTCAAATTATGGAATAAAGTCAAATTGTGAGATAAAGATTCATGAATTTCCCCTAGGGGATAAATAAAGTATGTATCTATCTATCTATCTATAATTATAAATCTAAATTATTAGATTAAAAGAAATTATGAGATACTAGTATTTATAACTGGTAAAGGGTAAAGATCTTACCATAGTTAGATTTACAAGTTTATGAGAGGTCAGATGAAGAATCATCTCCACATGCTCAGAATATAAAAGACCAAAATGTCTTTTAGAGTCAGTTGTGTTTTTCACAATTTTCAGAAAATAAATAAAGCATTTATTTTTTACTGCCCGGCCCAGTGCAAAAAATGATCATGACATATGTGTGGGAAATCATCAGATTAAGAGTCAATGATGCCTTTAGACAAACAGTGGATTGACAGTGGGTGGGTGAAGCACCATTTCTACACCATATTATAAATATAATCTTTATTTTGTGTTTACACATTTTTAGAAGGTCAGTTCCACAAAGTTTAACAGCATCTTGTATGAGAAACATTTTGTTAGAAGGACACCAGGCCACAAATATATATATCGATATATATATCGATATATATCGATATATATATATAGTACCAGGACCAACAGAAACACACTCATCTACAGATAGAACTTCTCATTCAACAGCCCGACTCAGCTCTGCTTCAATGTAACCAACAACAAATCTACTGCAAAGAAACTTGTGTCCGGTCGAGGGTTCGATTAAAGGAAGCTAATATACATCAGGCTGAAATGCTACTATGTTATAAATGTCATCATACGCACATAAGATACATAAATACATGCCATCAACTTTTAGCATGAGATGGAGACTCTTTCTCTTTCTCAGTCCTAAAAGCCTGGCAGAAATATAGTGACTTAAAAACCATTAGTGTGGTTTGGCAGGTATAAAACTGGTCAGTAGCAGCTTTGATTCAAAGACACTCTGAGCCATCTGGAGCCAGACTGCTCTTCACGGTTCTCAGCTGTTGTGTTTGTTCATGTCTTACAGTATAAATAAGCCACCAGAGTGGAAACGATTGGCTGGTCTGTCTGTGTCCCGCAACTGAAGGTGAGAGTCGAATCGTCGAACCGTCTATGTGGAGAACAGGGGGCCGGTGGAAGCAGCAGTGAAGACGGGGCCGGTGTAGAGTCCCGGCCCATCAACAGGAACCTTGCGACAAAATAAAACACATATGAATACGTTATTAATATATTATGAATCAAGACAAGGCTAACGTGTTTGATTGGTTAGACACAGTCACTGATCATAGCTGTTTCTGAGATACCAAGGCGCAGATTTAGTTTCACCTTTGATGTGGCCACTGAGACTAAAATCCTCATCTATGATTACACCCAGATTTTTTAACATGGGTTGAACAGTGGTCATCAAATGCAATATTACAATGAACATCAGGATTTTAAATGGTGCAAAGATGCATGAAGCTGAGTGGACACGCAGCACAACAGTCCAGTCATTCAGTGCAGCAGGTATTAGGTCGTTATATTAGCTATATTAGTTATATTAGTAATATTACCTCCCCCAGAGCCTGCAGGGCGACTGTAGCTGCCATGGCCTTGGCGTGTTTCTTATTGGGGCTCGCCGTCTGGGGCTGGTAGTCCACGCCGTTCACCGTCACCTGGAGACAACACCCACATATGGACGCATGTGTAAATGTCAGAATAAAAACTAACACCATTTGACACTGAAGAAAATTCAGTGTCAAATGGTGTGCTCAGAAATTCCATGCTACATGTCAAGCTGTTTAACTTATGGAGGAAAAATGGACCCAACTGATACAGTTTCTTAAACCTGACCCCATGTTACATATTGTAATTCTTTAACTTATTTTTATTAATCTCTTTGTCTATTATGTTTATGTGATCAGTTAAGCAAAGCTTGTGCATTTACTTAAAAAAATCCTTTAACTTTGCAGTTTTGAAACTCAAATGTGAACATTGAGCTTTTAGCATTTAGCTCAGATGATCACTGTGCCTCAGTCCAGGCTCCTGAGCTGCTGCCATGACTCGTTGTTTTGTTGTTGATGAAGAAAGAAAAACAAAATTCCAGAATCAACATGAGAATTTCTTGCTATTATGTGATTTGTTAGATGCAGAAGCTTCTGACACTCAGAATCAACATGACTCACCTTGAAGAGGAAGTTCTTGCGGTGGTCAGGGCCACTGTGGTGAACCATGACAAAGTCTGGCTGCATGATCCGCCTCTTGTTGCACAGCTCGATGAGTGCAGACACTGGGTGCTTTCCTGTACACACACACACAAGAGGCAAGAATTCATCCATTATGATTATTAATTTTATCTGGGTCAGTCTCCGCGGTCTCAGATCCCCAAAAAAGAGACCAGAAAAAAAAAAACTGATAAACATCAACTAGCATTTCTAGCAAGATATAAGACATCAAATTCAAATCTAATTTCTAAATGCGTGTCCACTCATGTGCTTCCGTCAGTGTGGCTGAATTTATTTTATCTGGATGTTCACAGTGTTTTTTTTTTTTAAATGGTTCATAGCTCATGTGCTGCTTTCATGTTGTGTTCTGTGTGACTGTGCAACTTCCTCTTTATTTTTAAGATCCTTGAAAAAAAAGGAGTTGGAAACCAATGATGTGATTATTTGCAGAGGAATAATTATCCAACCAGAACACTCCGCTCTCTAAATGCAGGTCTTCAGCTCTCAGGCTGCTCCTCCAGGCTCCTGGGTTCAGGAGTCAGACTCCCTCTCTACATTAAAGAACAGGCTTTAAACTGTCCTCTTTGATAAAGCTTATAGAGATGGATCAGGCGAACCATCCCATAGTAATGCTTTTATTTAGTTCTGTCTCATTTTCATCATGAAAAGCAGGTCATATATCCTTTTTCATTTTTGAAAGGAAGCAGTGGAACAAAGACGAAGGTTCCAGCTGCAGAAAGGAAACTCTTCAGGTTGATTTTCACTGAACAAACTGTGACTGTGTTTGTTTGTTGTGTCTTTACCCATGAGATCCTTGGTTACCACCAGTCCTCCCGTCTGCTTCTGTGGCTTCTCTCCTTCAGCCACAAGTCCTGCCACACAAAACATCACCACCACCATCAGCATTAGCATTAGCATTAGCGCCATTATTCTCACCATCTTCCTTAAAAGTAAATATTTATAATTTTTAAAGTTTTAACAAACGAATTAATAACCTAATTATAAACAAAAAAATAATACTAATAAATAAATAAAAAGTATGTGAACCTCTCAGCTAATGACATGAACAGAAGCTAATCTGAGTCAGGACATGCAGCTCTATGTATGGAGCAAAAACTATCCCATCCTTGTAAAGCATGTGCTGTCTGTCTCCAGTATTCTGTGGCGTCAGACCTTTGCGGTCGACCTTGAAGTCAATGATGATTGGCTCCACAGTGCCCTCGCGGTTCCTCCCTAGGCCCTCCCCCGTCCTCCAGCCCATCTTCCTCATGAGGAACTCCCCGACGCCGCCTGATACTGGAGCTGCCCTGAGGAACTGGTCCTAACAGAGACACAGAGACACGGCGAGAGCGACGGAGAGGGGAGGGGAAGGAGAGAAAGTGACAAACTTATGAATAAATAAGGACAAAGGAAGAAAAAAGCCCAGCCTTTTAAATGTTAAGTTATGTAGCAAGTTGAGTCACACACAGAGTCAGAGTGCAGGACAGGACGAGGGTATTCAGCTGCCAAGTCATTAGGAATGTATTAATGCGAAGCCGCTGTTTATGCGATTTTAAGATCACTTTTTATTCATCTTCATAACAAAAACACCATTAAAAACATGCAACATGTACAACATACAATAAGGAGAAAGAGCAGGTAGCAGCAGACAGGTGAAATAAATAAATACCAGAGAGCAAATTATATTCATATCAAAAAAAATGTATGATTTTCATGTTGTTTGTGTTATTTTCTTGTTCCTTCTCATCAGAAAGTCGAGTGATTTATTTGTAGGCATCAAACCACTCAATGGCCTTTGTGCCCTATAAATGTTTTTAGAGCACACAGTGGATTTAAAATGGGCGAAGCTCCAAGAACTCTGCAATCTCTTTTCTCTACATTGAGCTTCCAGGAGATTCCCAGAGCTTAGAAAAGCTTTTGTATTTATGTTAACTAGGTATATGCTCAGTTTTTGCTAAAACTATCTCAATGATTTTATGTGTGTGTGTGTGTGTGTGTGTGTGTGTCTTACCTTCTTCAGCCAGGCTTGTGGTCCGCTGGTGGACAGCTCCTCTGAGCTGAGGACCTGTGCTCCTGTGGAACCAGTGAAGAGACCAGGGACAGTGTTGGATTGGGCCCACGCATCCACCTATGAAAACAGGACACTTGTATTAGATCAGAGAGTCAAAGTACTAATCAGATGCAACAGTCTAATCAAGACAATATAGCTCTTTTTGCAGCAGTGCTTTCTCTAAGACGCATTGTGAACACACACTTAAAACAGGCAATGAAGTCACAATGAAGCTGGGATTTTATTTTGAAGTGATGGTAATGTTGCACTTTTTGTTGGATGGATTTTTGATCCTACATTTCTTTGTGTTTTTATTAATGGACAGAAATGTCTTTTATTTTAGTATTTTACCCACATTCATCTCCTCTGTCCAATTATTTAGTTAACAGTGGTTGAATTTACATAAATACTGTACTTATTACATTCTAATTCACTACTAGTGGGAATATTGTACTTTTTATTCCACTACATTAATTTGACTATTCTTACTATTTTTCTTTATAAATTCAGATTTTACATTTGATGATATTGTAAAATGATGCATTATTTTGCCTTAAAATAGCCAAAAGTATATAACATAGTAAGAATTAGCTCAACATAATAATGCATTGTAACTAACAGTCAATCAGACTTGTGTGTATTGTACCTGCTCTTGCGCGCGGCTCAGCATGCAGATGGCACTGACATCGTAGGGGTTCTCCGCCAAACGCCTCTGAGCTTTGATTCGCTCTGTTACAGCCTGAGAGATGTCCACTGGCTGCAGAGACAGAGACAGCTTGAGCTTAATTTTAAAGGATTTTCACACAGGATGGAGGAGCTATGGATTTCAGAGTCTTCCTGCTATAATTGCAATAAACATTTGATTATTGTACCATGCGTTCACTGGTTAGTTGTCATTTTTTCCAACTAGAACTAGAACCAGGACTGGAAGTGTATGAGGGTCACTCAAAACCATTTGCAGACTAATTTTTATGACCTTGAGCGGAAGAGAACATATACTGTCTTTGTAGAAGTCTGTGCACTTTTTGGCAGAAAGTGCAGCTCTGCATCAGAAATAATTTGGATGTCACAATGAACAATTTTTGTACATTGTGATGTAATAAATCAATCTTTATAATTAATCTTACAGTGCAGATCAGTTCCCGCCATTTAGTGTGAAGTGATGAAAAAACATAGTTAATAGCTCCATGTATTTATTTAGATGTACAGCTGGAGGTGCTATGATATTATGTTACTGTATGTTCCAGACTATCTGCATGCATGCATCAGTCAATATTAAACTTAAACCGTCATCATTTTAAAAACATTACATTCATTCAGCACATAGAGAGGACACTTCCACTTCTCACCTGCATTAGTGGGTCAGGAAACACACTGTCAGCAGCTGGCACAAACGCTGGCTGCTCGACAGCCTCGGGTGACCCTGCTGCCGCCGGTTCACCTGAGGACGAGGTGGCTGTCGCTATGGGAACGGTGGTCGGGGTCTTTCTGGAGGCAGTTGAAGCTTTGTCTGTTGTTTTGTCAACAGGAACCCATTCTCCATAGGCACCCATTGCCTCGCCCTCCTGGAGAGTGTAATACATCAAACGGTTGTTTTTTGTAACAGTGACATCGATCAGGGGTTCTCAACCATTTTGGATGTAAGGACACCTTAGGTTAAGATTTTACTTACATTCTGAGTTACGGTTTCCTCAAAATAAAAACAGTTGCACAAAACACTCAAGTCTTCACCTTAAAATGTTCACTTAACTATTTCAGGTCTTCTCCTTATCTTAGTCTTAAACTTCAGGAATCACTTAAAGTCACTTAAATTGACCTTAGAGACCAAAGTTCACCGGGGTGAAGTTCCCCTCAAAACAACAGGAGGATGAGATAGCAGGTACAACAAGTGCTAATAGGAGAAAACAAACGGTCTCCATGGAAACAGTAGAATTTTACCCCTGTAAAATCTCTTTCATTGCTGCAAATTACTTCACTCTTTTCCTTAACTAATGAAACCTTTTAAGACATTCTGTGCAACACCCTTAAGTATACCACTGTATACACAGGCACATTATTTTACTTTGCATTTATATTATATTTCCATACCTGCCTCAGGTCTACTGCAGGATGGTTGTAGGTAGCAGGTTTCCTGTAGTTCTAAACTTTGAAACAGTGTTATAAGACTCATATCTGACCTTTTTACGATGTTGGGATCCTGACGACACAGGAAACTCCTTGGCGATGCCTGCGTCACTCCGCACCGCTGGACGAACTGTCGTGTTCTGGAGGGGAAAAAAGAGAGGAAAAAGTATTCATCCTCTTTATTTTTCTCCAGCCTGTCGCTCAAGTGTTTAATATTTACATTTAATAAAGTATTCCCCCACATAACACTGAAGAAGAGTGCACTTACTGGCTGGCAGGTGTGTGTTAAAATCATATGTCAGGACACCTCAAACAGAGCCAATAAATGATGGTATATTACACTGCAAGAAATCATAGCAAAAATACTTATGCCCGCTCTACACTACCATAGAAGTCAGTGGTGAAAGTCATCTGCCTGTGGGCCCTATTTTAATGGCACAAGTGCAAAGACCAACACAAAGCAGACAGACGGCGTGGTGATTAATACAGACGAATCAAGATGCCCTTAGCCGATCACCGTGACAACAACAGGACAAAACAAACGCCATCTCCAGGAAATTATATTGTTGTCTGAATTGTGCAGAGATGCATGATGGGAACACAAAGCACCATAAATCTGCAGCCAGAAGCAGATGGTGTGGGTTTTAACAGTTAATGTGTGAAACTTTGTCATAATTGCTGTGTCAAATCTGAAATTTCCAGAATTAGGTCATAATGTTTCAAGAAAAAAAGTCCTAATATTACCAGAATAAAGTCATAATTTCACAAGAAAAAAGTCAGCTCTTCCTATATCTCTCCTCTAAAGCACGTAACCTAAAATTACCACTTTATTCTCATAACATTACGACTTTCTTCATATAATACTATGACTTTTTTTTTTGAAAAATTACAATTTTATTCTTGTAATATTATGACTTTATTCTCATAATATTAGGACTTTTTATATACAATTATGACATTATTCTTGAAATTTCAGATTTCTTTCCTTAATGTCGCATTAATACTCCGTCGGAATTCTCAGCACATCATTTAAGACAATTATCTGCCGGGAATACCAACAACTAATGTTGTGTCGGTCTCATTTGAATGCCCCTCCCTCCTCTACAACATGTACACTGCGTTTAAGACCAAAATACCATGGATCAAGAAAATTTCATTTTAACGGATGAAGCACTGCTTGGATTGGTTGCACCGCCATTGAAAATAGGGCCCTATATGTCAAACTGTTATTATTTGATGGATAAGGGTGTATACTAACAATACTGAGATATTATTTGTTTCATATACTTATTACTGTGAAATAGTGGTTAGATTATTTCCTTGTCATTTCTGAGCTTTATTTTGAAATGTTACCCAGTATACTTCACTGTTATCTAAGTGGTGTTCACCACACATTCACATACACTCACAAGACAGGAAACCATCATTCACATTAATATGTTAACTCATATAAAGACACCGTGTGGTCCGTGCATGGATGTTACATTGATGCTGAAGCTGATGGCTTTCTGCTCTCGGAGAGCCGATCCTCCAAACGGTTTCCCATCATCCTCTTCGTCTGAAATGTGAGGCACAGCCACCGGCAGCTCTCCTTTACTGTCCACGATCATCTTGCATTTCTACCAACACACACACGGCAAATTCAGTTGTACATTTATTAAAATGTCTATATGATGAATTTTTATTCAGTATAACATGTTGCCACCATGTTAATAATATTTATTTAATTAAAAATTTTCATTCTTTATTAAAACAGCATAAACATAAAAATCTATATGTTTATAATGTTTTTCTTATTTAATTCTTATTCATTTTCAATATGTCTCAGGCTTTTGGACTTTACTGTATATAATATCAACCTATACTGAGAGGCTTTAAGATGGATATATATTTACATATGTATAATCATACATACATAAACATACATATTTGTATGGGCTACATATGAATGAAATTGTTCCAATTTCTAACATGTTTCATATATATTTTTACATATATGTTTTTATTTCATATATATATATATCATATATAGAAATTCAATATATGTACATATATAGCGCATTGGTAGTTACAGATGGTAGAGAATTATTTTTTACATCTATTACCATTACAATTTTTTGGTGTATCGTAAATATCTGGTTAACAAGCGTAATATAAGGTCTGTGCTCTTACATCAGTAAACTCCTTAATGCTGATGCTGTTGGCCTGCTTCGCCACTTTCCTCTTCACCTCCTCCAAAGCAGCGATGTTGGGTTGAGTAGCAGCAGGGGGAGGCTTGTTGGTGATGGAGGGCAGTGAGAGCAGTGAAGACAGAGTGCCCATGTTAGACAAGGCCGCTGTCATAGTGGCTGTAAGGGACATAAGAGACACTGAGAAAGACAGCAAGAAAAAACAAGTACAGCTGCTAATTCAAGTTCGATCCAAGTTCCTAACCCTAACCCTGACCTTTGACCACCAAAATCTAATCAGTTTATCTTTGTTTCTGGCTCATGAACTGGACTAAATGAGTTATTATTGTTTATTATTTATTATTATTATTATTATTATTATCCCAGTCCCAGTGGACTTTTGCGCCAAATTTGAATAAATCCCCTCAAGGCGTTATGGAGATATCATGTAAACAAGGCAAAACCATGTTTTGTGAGGTCAATGTGACCCTGACCATTGACCACCAAAATCTAATGAGTTCATCCTTGAGTCCAAGTGAACGTTTGTGCCAAATTTGAAAAAGTTCAGTCAAGGCATTATAACTTTATAACCTTCATAATGGATAAATTAAACAAATCCTCACTAACTGTGGATAGATGGACAGTACAGTGATCATCATGCAGAAAGAAGACAAGAATTGAACTCATACCGGCTGTCATACTGGCCATGGCAGCATTCATGGCCATACTTGGCAGAGCCAGAGGAAGCACCGTGGACCTCAGGCTGGCAGGGATGGGCATACCTGCTTTGGCACACATAGCAGCAGCATTGGCCTTGGCAATCTCCAACAACTGGTCCTTATCTATGGAAACAAAAAGATGGATGAAGTTTCTTTATACTGGACATATGTAAATATCTATCTAGCTAGCACCCTCGGCACAACTTGTCACACCATCAGTTGCTTGTGGATGTTGCCAGAATTATGTACCTCAACCTCGCAAGTAATGTTAGACATTATGCCTGAAGGCATTAAAGGAGCTATATGTAAGTTTTTGCTATCGCTACATAGCTAACATTAGCATTAACAGCTGATTACTCACCAGTCTTAACAAGAGCTTCAGCTTCAAGTCAAGAGGTTATAATACATCCTCTGAGCAGCTCTACTTCCTCAGAGCAGCCTGGGCGCTACAGTCACTCAGTAATGGAAAGTGACGAGGCAGTCGGAACAGGCTGGAGCTAGCTGGTTAGCATGCTAACCTTGGTATAAGAAAGGAAGTGATAGAAATAAAAGCAAAGTGGCAAATGGAGGAATGAAGTTTGTTGCTTAACTCGCAACACTTCTTCTGAACTTATAAGTAAACAGCTGCTAATGCAAACATGTAGACAGGTACATAATTCTGGCAGCAAATTTGATTGTGTTTCATTCAGAAAACAGTGTGATTGGTAAACAGCCACTTCTCTTCTTTCCCAATATATCAAAGCAGCTTTTTTTCCACTGCTGCAGTGTTTTCAGGTTTTCTTTGAATGCGGATGCAGCACACTGATCCCCTCTTTGTAAATAATAATGAAAACAAGAACAAGCAGCACTACAGTTAGTTTACAGGATTTAAATGAGTGATTTCACAGTATCTGACCCAGTTCACTGATGCGTTGAGGGCTGTTGTTTGAAGCGCAGTGTTTCCTGGTGGGGGATCTATTTTTGCGGAGGATGAGCACAGGGGAGTGACTCGGCTCTCGTTTCCAGCGGTCCCTCTGGCTGTACGTCGCCCTCCTCCGACCCCGCGATGCCGACCATGAGCGCGACCTCCGCGCCCTCCTGCCCCCTGACCTGCAGAGACGACATGTGATCCTGTTTTCATCGTCAGGCACGGACTGTGGAATGTGAGACCGTGGTATGGGAAATCATGTCATTTCATACGTGATGTGAGTTATGTGCTGTCTAGTGGTGGCCAAGACACAACATGAATACTCCACCTTCCCCAAGTCCCATGTACCCACAGGAACAAATTACTAGACTGTTAACTGGTGCATTTATTTAGCTAATCGATTAGCTTAGCCACTTAGCTTCTCCTTTTAGCCCTTGTCTGACACTCTGGCGAAACCAAGCTAAACAATCCCAGTTGGCCATGGGATGTAACAAGCTTTCTGATTGGTTGGAGAGCTAGTGGGTTTTATCAGCTCTGAAGGCGAAGAGTGTCACAGAGAGGCTAACAGGAGAGGCTAAGTGACTAAGCTAATCAATTAGCTAATAGGAAAAGGAAAAGCAGCTGGAAAAAGGAAATGGAGATTGAAGAGAAAATCCAGGTATGTATTCCAATTTTTGAATAGTTTTTCAAATTATATTATTTAGTCATGTATTAATAAATGTATTTATAAATGTTTTTTTTAATGACAGTTTATGTATGTATGTTTTTGTAAATCCATTTTTAAATCTGAAGTATTCATTGATGGATTAATCGTTCATTTATAAATTCTTTTTACAGTTCCTATTTTTAATGCGCATTAAAATATATAATGAAGGAAATGCTCTGTTACTTTTCCTGTGACATCACTTGTCCTCCATACATGAGGTCCAACATGTCACCTTAATCAATTGAGTTCATGATGGACAGATGGACAGTGTTCAAAACTCTTTGGTAGTGATTAGTTAATAACTATGTTTAGGATATAGAAGATCCTGATAAAGAAAGATCCCAGCCACTCTACCTGGACCGTGACCTTGTCCTCCTTGAAGGACTCCTGGATCTGGATCCCTTCCTGTGGCTCCTACACGGTGACTTGGATCTTCTCTGCCTTTTCGATGACTTTCCCTCTTTGCTCCTCTGTGGGGATTTGGCTGCTTTCCTCTTCTTCTTCACTGGTGATTTTGCGTCGGGGGCAGGGTACCTGGGGTGTTCTGATGCTTTAAGCTGAGGGGAACTGGGGGGCTCCACGGCCTGGTTGGGTTCAGTCGCTATGGACTGGGATGTGCCACAACCTGCAGCTTCAGTATAGACCACAGAAGACATTTCTTGGACATTAAAAGATATGACACAGTCATTATTTTACCACCACAAGAACAAGCTGCAGTTAAACCTGTGTTGTTTGGGTCAAAGTCACATGATCACTTAAATCCTGAGAAGCTGTGGTTCAGTCTGAACCCACACGCTGTGTCCGGTCCTGTGTCCTACCTTGTGTGTGTGTTGTAACCTCTGCTCTCTCTTCTTTTGTCTCTGCTGGCTTGTCCCGCTGGTCGGGGCTCTGCAGCTCTTCCGCTGGGATGTGTCTCCGGGTCGGGCTGGAGGCCAGCGGAGGCGGCTGGAGGCTTTTTGAAGGAGCCTGGGGCGACTGTATGGATTCACCCAGAGCTGGCGTGTTCTCAGAGGAGCTACCAGCAGCCACGTCAACCAAACCATGACAGGATGAAGCAACAATGAGGAAGGCGGGACTATGACGAACACCTCTTTGTTCATGTAAGCAGCCAGACTGTTGCTTTTCCCACAGTATTTAAAGTAGTAGCATTATCATGCAATTGCAGTAAGTGTGGGCAAAATGTTGTAATCATATCATTTTGGGATTCACAATCATGTTTAGAAAGCAGAACCAAAACTGAATATATGACTAAGGATGTGTTAAGACCTACGAGTATTAGGGCCACATTGAGGAAAAAAAAGAAATCAAAAATTTTGAGAATGAAGTTGTAATATTTCAAGAATTAAGTCATAATATTTAGAGAATTCAAAATGAAAAATTTCCAGAAAACAAAGAAGTTTTTTAAGAATATTACAAAAAACCAATGAAACGATTTACACATTTCTGTCAAGAATCATTTCAGTGAGGGTTTTCCTTCATACCTGGACCGGGAGTGAGTCCTGGATCTCCGGTGGTGGTGTCTACACCTGGAGCGTGAGCTCCTCCTCGCGGAGCAGGAATGTGAATGATAATCGGAATGTGACTGTGAGCGGGAACAGCGCCTTCTGCTGCAACTTTCCTCTTCTCTTCTTCCTTTGTTGGAGCTGTCCTGTTAGGAGGTAACAACGTCGTCATGTCACTGATGTATATGGTGTGCATGAGGTTGTTTGTCTTCATCCCATTATGAGGGCAGATGTAGATGAACTGATTAGATTTTGGTGGCCAAAGGCCAAAGGTCAAGGTCAGTGTGACCTCACAAAACACTTTTCAGCCATGACTCCAGACTTCACACAGCAATTATGACAAAAATTCACACAAATGGTTCATATTTTATATGATAAACAGGGATGGAACCTGAAACTAGTCTGAGTGGAGGAGGGATACAACCTCAAGGAGGTCATTCTAGGTATGAATAAACTAAGGTCAAGTTTTACTGCCAACATTATCACAGCATGTGTTTGTTTTTTTGGTGTTTTTACCTGTTTGGGGATGATATCTGGGAGTTCCTCTCGTCGCCTTGGCGATAAGCTTTGACCACGTTTACTATGACTCTGCTTTGACACATACTCCGAGTCAGAATCTGACGAGTTCTCTTCACCTTTCCTCTTCCTCTTCTTCTTCTTCCTCTTTCCCGACGAGTGCCGCTTGTGGCATTTGGATTTACTCTTCTTCTCCTCACCTGGACAGACAGCTCATACAGTTAATTATACTTATAGCTTGTACAACTACTGCAAACCTAGAAATGATATAGATAAGACTTAACGTAGCAGTATTCCATGGTGGTGCTGGTACTTTAACCATAGTACAAGATTGGAGTAGCCAATCAACACAACAGTGTATGACATAAGACAGAGACTCACCTTGCTCCTCAGTCAGCTCTGTTGGTGTTCCTCTTCTATGAAGCAAAGATAAAACCTGAGTTAGGCACATTTGAAAAGCAGGTATTAATGGTGAAAAGGCAGGAAGTCAACGTTTTTTTTTTGTCCAACACAACAGAAAGATATCAAAAATAAACCCAACCATTAACACGAGCCAAACTTTACAGACATACAGTTGATTGGACTTTCCCTTTCCCTTGGTTAAACCTTTTAAATTGTTTTTTATTTTTTAATGTCTGTCCAGCTTCAAATGCTTTAAGACAACCACTGGATCTTATCGAAGGTTCTACATTTTCATATTTTACACACTTTTGATGAGTTTACATAGTTTGCTAAGTTGCATAGTCTCAAAACCAAAGATGATTTACATGTACAAATGCAGAAGTAGAGGAGTGCCCGGTTCAGAAGCAGTTTAACCAATTTCTCTAACTTTTAGTGTGTGTGCAGTCTGACACAACAGGATCCTGTTTTGCTTTGTTTGTGTGTGAACAGCAGCTGTTTGTGTTTAGATTGCTGCTGTGTTATCTGACTTGGTGATGCTTTATTCTGCTTTTGCATCACAAGTGTTCAGCAATTTGATTACTGCTGTTTTTGTTTTGTTTTTGTTTTTAAGTTTTTGCTCTATTAGAGAAGTTACAAGTACCCTGTTTATGCATGGTATTATTCAGGTGGAACCACAGTGTTATTATTTATATAGGACCATTTACCTTGACTGATGTTTGCTTCCTCCCTCCACTTCTGCCAAAGGCTCTGAGCTGCTCTCCTTGTCCTCCTTCTCTCGGTTCCTCCTCTTCTTCTTACTTTTGTGTTTTTTGTGCTTTTTATGTTTCTTTTGTGACCCACATTCCCTGAAGTCTTCCTGTTTCTCTCTCTCTGAAGTGGCTTTGTCTGTCCCATCCATTTCACTGCCAGCACCCACTCCTTCACCAGCACTGATACACACACACACACACACACAGGCAGAAAGGGGGATTTTACTGTCCAACACAGCTCAGACAATTCATTCATTCATCCACAGAACTGTTCCAAGGAGAAGTTAAGTTAACCAGTAAATCTAAGTTAGCGTGCTAACCAGTAAAACTTCGACTGAATATCTTGTTTTTACCACATTACCACAAACAGGACCTCTCCAGTCCTGACATACTGTTTTTAACGTTGCTTTATTTACACCCAGCTAACCCCACTATTAATTAATTAACACCGCTCCTAGCTGGTTCTCTACGTTTAAATGTGTAAACATATAGCTAACGTTAGCTTGTAAGGTAAATTTAGCAACCAGAGCGATAACCGGCCTCTGTAGCTGGAAAACTATCATGTTTGTACAGTTTATTCCCTAGTTAGCTGATTGTATTTAACTGCCAATAAGACGAATACAAAGCACTGCGTTGACATACGATTTGTCTTCATTCTGGTCTTCAATTTCTCTGATTTTACTCAATATGAAATCTTGGAATATTTGCTCTATGTTGGCCGCCATGTTTGAGTGTGCATCTCGTTATGGGTCCGGGTAGAATCGGTTTCGTCCCCCACTGCGTTCCGGGTCGCATCTGTTTCCATTTCGAGTGTCTCGCAAGACCCCAGTAAGGGAGCTATGGAGTATTAGGGCCACTCTGAGGGAAAGAAATCTGAAATTTCGTGAAAAAAGTCATAATATTAGGGCGAAAAAGTCATAATATTAGGAGGAAAAAGTCATAATTCTACGAAAAAAGTCATAATTTTATGTCATAATTTTTTGAGAAAAAAACTCAGAATTTACAGGAATAAAATTCAGAATTTTATAAGAATAAAGACATAATATTATGAGCCTAAGTAACCATGGTGATTTACCCTGGTAGTGAACCACCGTCGTATGACTCAAAACCCAGCGTTAAACCTGAAGTTAATTCCTGTTTCGTAGTCCAGGCAACAGGGTGGTCATTTTTAGGTTCAGATAAGACATAACGATCATCATTTTCTATCAAGTTTGCTTTAATAATGAAAGGGTTAGTGTTCTAAAATTTCTCTTTTGTTGTTGCCTAGCCAGAGAAAAGATTCACTTACTGGTCAACACTTCTCAACCGGGACAGAAGCCTGGTGAGTAAATTCAAAGTGGACTTTGGTTCTCTTTATACTAGGTCACTGCAATTTTCCCTTTGCTCCTGTCATAATTACTACGACCACTAGATATCGCCTAGCAACAAAACGTAACTATGGGTAACAGAAGACCTATTGGCTCGTTTTTTGCAGGACAGTCTCAAGGCTATTTTATTTTTATTTATCCAGATGAAAACAGAAAATATACTCTTAAAGCATTAACAAATCGACCCCAGAGACTGTTAAATAAAAGACAGTTTCAGAGTTGTAGAGTTGTAGAAACAGGAAAAAGGCTATTGTTGGATTAAATTCTATATACTGTGAGATAATGCTAGAACAGGAAAAAAAAATAACCATTATAACTGGAACAATATGGAAGAATATGTGTTTTAGGTTCTCAAGAAAAAGACAGGACACAAATATTTATTTCCATTTATTATCCTGTTCAATTGCAGTCAAACATTGAAAGAAGAAGACAAAGCTTGCATAGAGAGATGAAATTTTATTTTAGGAGGACTGCTGACAAACATTCAGAGTTAAAAGTGAGGTGGACTGTACAGACAGGAGTGTTAAATGTGAGTCGGCCGGTTAAAGCTCCAAACTTTGGTTTGACAGACACTGGGCAGTGCATTCAGTGAGGGAAGTAATATCATAATTTTTATTATGAGTATGAAACAGTTTGATAATCAGATTTGAACTGAGCCAAATTCACACATGAGAATTTATGCAAATGTACCATCCCTGACTTTGCATAAAATGCCCCGTTAAGTTGTTTTTTGACCTTTACGCATAAAAAAAACATTTTGTAGAGTATCGGACTGTCCATGGTAACATTTGTCCGATAGAAGCCAAGTTAAACCAGAACAAAAAATTGGGAAGGTTATGTGAAAGACAAGACAAAGTCTTATATTAAGATTTACTATGTTTGAGACAGTAAGTGAAAAATGATGAGATAAGATTTACTAAGTCAGAAATAAGAGAAACAAAGGTGATAGTACGGAAGAGGATTACTTTTATTTATATATATATATATATAATTATGACTTTAACCTCAAAATTCTGTCTTTAATGTCAGAATTCTGAGAAAATTTCACATGTAGCCCTAATCCTCTTTTGTACGATGTCATGTTTGACTGTGAGATTTATTAGATATTAAGTCACAATCTAGACTTAATCAGTCAAAATTATGAGTTACTATCTCAAAATTAAGTAATTATGAGATTGAAATTTTGAAGTATTAAGTCAAAAGAATGAAATTTGTTTTTTCTTTTTTCCATGTTACAGGCCTGCGTGTGGTTGTATGGTTTGTTCAATGTGGCAGTTCAAGGCGTGCTTACATTCATAGTGCAGGGTGGAATGTCACTGAAGACAGCAGCAACACGTGTCTCAATATACGAAAGAGAAAAGATTCACTGCAAGCTTATTTCAAACTCTCATGCTTTTCTCTGTGATTCTAGTCAGAGTGTGCAACGTGAATAACAAGCCAATAACAATGAAAAGAAAATTGATTCTTCTTAATGAGCAACAGCGAATATGCTGAGGAGACATATTTATGCCATCTTATATATTAATGTATGTCTAAAGTCCTTTTCTGGACTTAAAAATGGCTGTTTGGAAATCATGTGACCTGACTGTGTTGTTGACACCAGCGGTTGTAGTTGAGCTTGGTGAAAAATTTCTGTTCTGATCTGGGTCTGTGTTGCAGCAGGGGTGGATCTAGAGGTAGGCATGTGGGGTAGCAGCTGCCAGCTCACTGCTATAGCCCCTCCCACCCCTCCGCTTTTAGCCTCTAAAGCTATAATTGTAAAATAATGAATTTCCAGTCAACTGTCCAAAGCACTGAAACAGGCAAGGCATATGGAGAAAATCCATAACTGATAATCAAAGAACAACCATTTTCTTAACATTAGCCAAATGCTACAGTGCTGAGCTGATGCATTCATCCCCTTCACTTCCTGCCATGCTAATGTATTTAATTTTTTTTCCTTTTTTGTAATTTTAGTATCTATAAAATGTGACACATTGCATTGTGGGGCTGTTAGCAGAAAGTAGTGTACATGCTACTTTTTTTTTTTTAATTCCACTGTCTGAATTTTGAGAAGAGAAGCAGACAAGTCGTATGTTATTTCATGTTGGGACCCCCACCCACCCACCCACCACCCCTCCCATGCCACCCTGCCAAAACCTCATAACACCCCATGTAAAATTTCGCTTTGTATATTTGGCTATGCAATTTTCCATCTTGAGACTCTGGTTATTTTCAACAAACTTTAGAAAATAGACCTGGATCAAAGCTAGTTTCAAACCATAAGATACATGTACAAATACAAACACATGTTGAATGTTATTTAATTTGGTACCACTTCACAAGAAGACGGCCCTTATAACGGATTTATGAATGGTTTATAATTAGGTTATTAATTAGGTTAACACTTTATAAATCATAAATAAACAATTAAATCCTTTATAAAGATTGTCTTATTGTAAAGTGGTACCACTTGATCTTGCCAAATAGTGAGCCTGCCCCAATGTGTGAAAACTGTTATAACTTGTTTATAATTGGTTATTTATGTTTTATAAAGAATTAAAAACTGTATTAATAACCTAATTATAAACCATTTATAAATCCTTTATAAGGGTCATCTCATTGTGAAGTGGTACCTTTAATTTAATCATCAGCTGAGGAGGCTATATGTTTTTGCCAGTTGATCCAGATCTGGTATAAAAATCACTCCCCACATAAAGTTAGTTACATTCAAATCACAACATGTCACTGCCACATCATTAGAAAATCACTTTTTTCTTGTAGATGAAAATACTGTAACAACGATACCAAAGCTTCTGTTTGGACTCCAAAATCAACTGTGGGAAAAGTTCACTGGACAAACTTTACCAAAAGATACCTCAGGCAGGTAACTGCCTCAAAGCACCATCTACAAGAGTGCAGTTCCTACAACGAGCCAACAGAGGACGCTGTACTACAAGTGCATCACTGAAGCTCACAGTTCTGGACAGGCCTTATGATCCTTCAAGGTCCATCAAGACGAGAGTAAAAGGCTGAATCCACTCGGCTTCTGCAGTGAAGGCAGTGGTTGCTTCTGGTGATTTGTACATTTGTACACGGTATCAAAGAGGAAGTGAAAAAAAAAAAAAAAGGACATCCTGGTCTCTGATTTGGTCAAATCCTGGCAGTTAACAATCCCAGTCCCGAAGGCAGCGTGGGTCATTATCCGTCACATCACACAGGTGAAAGCATGTGTTACTAAGTAGGCGCGAGATACATGCAGGTGCAACAAGAGAAGGCCAGAGTGCAGCCTTATGCTTCAAATGTCTTAGAAAATATAATTAATTAAACAAACTTTAAATCCAGATGTCGAAGCCTTCCAGTTGTTATTCACCACTGGGGAGGTGGGTTCATTCCAGTCCGAAGGTACTGGTCTCCTCCACAGCGGTCAGCATCTTCTCATACAGCATTGAAAAGGAAGGGTACGGCGGCAGGTCCAGCCGGTTGAAACAGGTGTGAGCTCTGTAGACGGACACAGGAAGTGATCAGTGACATCAGCGACATGTCATTTCCTGTTTCCTGTAATCTGGATATATGCTTGTATACAGTGATCACCACTGTGTAGTACTTACATTTACTGTTTGGCATGTAATAAAGTAACTTTTGAGTTTTAATACATGAGTGTTACAGACTATTGTTTTTGCTAACGATGACGGCATGAAATTGTGACCAAAATCAAACCGTGATGAGATGGTGAGTTAACCTGGGCAGTGAGGTGACCTTCCCCCACTTCTCCACACAGAATCTGCGAGGTCCGTTGCTGCCACGCAGAGAAGCGAAGCCCTCATAAGGAATACTGGACGTCCCCGTCACAAACTGGTGACGCAGAGAGGAAGAGACGAAGAGGAAGACAGGAGGTAAAAGAGACGTCACCTTCAAAAAGTTATAACCTTCTGTCTCTCTCTCTTTCTCACAAACACACACACACACACACACACACACACACACACACACACACAAAACACACACGCCTACCTGCAGAAGCCGCAGTCTCTGTTCATTGTTGAACCTCTCCACTGCCACCCAGAACCACCGGATAACTATATGGTTGTCGTGGTAACCTAAGCACAACAAACCATGTCATGTAACTATGGCAACATAGACAAAAACATGGAAAACAGATGTTAAAGATGAGGCAAATAATCCCAAACTTCCAAACAAGATAACTTCAAACAAGCATTTATTTTTCCACCACTTCAACATTTCTGTCTTTCTTTATTCCTTTATTTTCTTATGTATTTTTTTATAGTTTTGATTTAACATGAAGGAAAAAAAAAAAAGAATGGAAAAATGGGAAGAACAGCACTAGGAGATGAGGGAGGAAGTGCACAGTAGCTGGGATGTCTGACGTATTTGTGTTTCCTGTTTGAGTCACAACCAGTCCCTTAGGGTGATTCCCAACCAGAGCCTCTCCCAACTCCTCAGGAGGAGGCATTGTGGGTAAACACCCAGTACACAGCCTCCAAAAGCAGTTACAGGTCTTCAATGCATATGTGAAACAAGTTGTATGAAGCCTTTTTGTGTCTCCAGAGGGAGATGTGTGAAGTCTGATAAATTTCCTCAAGTGATGAGCCCTTTGAGCCAGTAACATGACACACCTAAACCTCTGACCAAGGAGGTGCATTGTTTGTAATGAGGGCACCAGGTTTTTGACACTGAACACATGCAATAACAGAGGTGACATCTCTGGGTGTGCTGCATCAGTTTGATCACCTAAGTATTATATTATATATTTATTTATATATTATTTATTGTATAAAATAAATTGACTCCATTCATCCTTCTTTTCTTCCATACCTCCTCTGTACTCTGTGTTGTTCCTCCAGTCTGATAAGTCGATCTCAGCAGTGCCGGCGATCACTAGCTCCAGCTCCCTGGCATCAAACACTGACACCAGCCTGGCATCCACCACCTGGGTAACACGCACACACACACACACACACACACACACACACAAGAAAAACAAACAAATTAATAATAATAGTAGTGAAAACATATTGAAACAACATTTTTCCTTAAGTAAAAATAAAAGCCACAAAATATTAAAATTAAATCAAATAAATAGAAATAAATAAATTAAATTAAATCAAATTAAAAATTTAAAAATATATATACATAGATATAAATTTAAAAAAATAAAAATAATAATAGAGGATGAGCAAGTAATTGTGATACATGCCACATATGGAAGTTACATCACACTAAAGCTGTACCTCATAGAAGCCTCTGACCAGGCTCTCAGTCTGCTGCACCACTCCTCTCTCTATTCTCCACTTCACCATCCGCTCTATATATTCCTTCTTGTTCTTCTCTGACACAGGAATGTTGGCTCCACCGGGCTTCAGCTCTCTCTCTGTTATCTATGGGAACACACACACACACACACACACACACACACACAAAATGTAAATACAGGCTGGTGCAAATCTTTATATGGTTTCAGCTGAACAAACTTATCAAGAAATACCCTACAGACTCAACACAAATATTTATAAACTGCTGTACTGTAAATACAGAAGGCAAATATTATAATCCATCAAATCCATCATCCACAAAATTTTATATCAAAACGTGTGTATCATTTGGGAATGGTGTGCTATGACTTTTCTTCACGATTTGAGTAATGGCGAAAAATGGTGAAAAATGTCCCATGAATGGAGACGTTGTGAAAAAACGACTAAACCGATCCCTCTTTGGAGCCACAGTGGTTCGTCATACTTCAGTGTAGAAACATGGTTGAAAGTTTAAACGGGTCACAAGACTTCCGACTTTTTTTTTTGGGTTAAATCAGTATTTTGATAACCGTCATGGTTTTCACAAAATCGCTGTTTAAGTTTTGTGTCATTTTTAGACCGTTTCAGATTTTGTAATGGGCGTGTGTTAAACGGAATGTTCAGAGCTAGAGTGGATGACATCACACACACTCTGCTATCAATGAAAATTTTCTTTAAAAAAATCTGACAAACTCTTTTAAATCCCACAATTTCCGAGCTTCATAGATCATTTATATATATATAAATGTAGAGAATTATTTTGTCCTCTATCACCCAGTGTTGTTCTCATTGTGATATCTGTTGAGGTTTTTATAGAAATCCCCCCTTAGTGCAGAGAGGGCTGTCAAAAGCTCCCATAGACGCCCATGTTAAACTGAGCTCTGGAGTTCTTACCAAGAACAGACTTGAGGGGAGTTTTTAAACTGCAGTAAAACATCATCTCTAATCTGTAGGTATACATAAAAGATATCAATGTCTTTATTCAAGTGTCGGGACGCTGGTAGTGAAAAGGGCTTTTGAATAGGACTTGTAGTTTTCCCTCTGTGATCCAATTTTCAAACACAAGTTTCATCTTAAAAGCTGTTGTCTGCCTAGGGAGACAGAGGGGATTATGTGTGCGTATCGCCCTCCTCCCCCTGGTGGCCACAGTCACCATAGCAACCGGTGTCTCAGCAGGTGCAACTGATGCAGGATCTGGGCAGAAATGGACAATTGATTGATTGACTAATTAGACGCATTAACTCTTATCCTTTTTACTCTCACCCGTGAGAGCAATTATAAGGCAAATCAACACTGTGGCTGTGTCTAAATGCTAAATGCTAAATGCTAATGCATTTTGGTAATACACTCAGAGTCTGACCTGTCCGAAGACTTCCTCATTGACAGTGAAGGTGAGGTCCAGCATGTCTTCGATGTCGTTGTCCTTCGTCCACTGAAGGGACTGGTGAAACTCCTCATCCAGATACTCCAGATCACTCAGGTCACATGGACTACAAGTGGAAAACTTGAGTGTAAATACTTGCATGTAGGTTTATTTGTGTGTGTGAATGTGTCAAACAGCTAGTCAGATTTTGTACACACTAGCTGAGGAAAATATATGCCCAAGTACGTACATGCGCAGCAGGCCTTTATAGAAAGGTCTGGTGAAGAAGGCATCCAGCAGGTATTGATGGATCAGAGCCAGACCCAGAATACGACCACTGAACCGAAACCTGAAACACACATTAACAACACATAAAAGCTAATTAGGATGATATATGATTATATACAGTACACAGGCTTCAACAGTGTGACTCATGTGTGTATGTTCAGTAAATCTCACCATTCGTGGTGATTGTCTACAAAGGCGGACATGGGGCTGATCTGAACGGTGTACGTGTCGTTGGCAGAGTATTCGAACAGACCATAATAAGGGTTGAACAGCTCCCTGGATACCAAGAAAAAGAACTCTCTGGAAGGCCCGCTGTAGTCCAACCTGCAACACACACACACATCTTTTGTTGACGATACAGAATAGGTCTAAAGACATGTGAGTAATGCTAGTTTTTCAGTGTGTTAGGAAGTTGATGTGTAAAGATCATTCATTAAAAGCGGGGAGTGTATTGCTGTTTGAATTATTGTTTTGATTAAAAACAAGGTTTAAAACATCAAGATATGCCATATTAGCCATATACTCACCCCTCCTCCCCAACAAAGCTGACATAGAGCTTGCTGCGCTGCAGGTCTTTACGGGAGTAACACATGATCTGGTTGAAGGCGTCTTCCAGCAGATGGTCACGCCGGATGATCAACCTTAGGACACACACATAATCAAGCAGACGGACGAACGTACACACACGTAAGTACAAGGAAACAGAAGAGAAAGGTTGCTCTCTTCAGACAAATACACTGCATTTACTTTAATTTGCCCGGTCCTTGGCCGTAACCTTTAGTTTCAAGTTTCCTGTAGAAGTTGCGGAGTTTGGCTTCAAAGTCTCTCTTGTAGGGAGCTGGAGCTCTGGCGTTAGCTCTCTGAGTACCTACAGAGAGACGAACAGAACAGGAAGTGTGTTAGTAACCGGAGATGGTCTGTTACTTTGTAATTAGGTGTAGCAGTTTATTTGTTCTCTTGTTCCAACTTTCCCTGCTTCATGTCTTTCTAGTTAAATGAGAATTAACCATCTTTCCCTGAATGATGGTGACTCTTCCACGTAGACGATCATTGGTTCAGTTCTCCTCCTGTGACCCAGTGACAGTCAGAGGCTTATTGTTTTCAGGTTGTCCGTCCGTTCCTATGTATGTACGAACGTACATCCCGTTCTCGTGGACGCGATACCTCAGTAACGGCTTGAACGAACTTCTTCAAATTTGGCATAAATATTCACTTGGACTCAGGGATTGAACTGATTAGATTTTGGGAGTCAAATGTCAAAGGTCAGCGTGACCTCGCAAAAAACTTTTTAAGGCATTACTCAAGACTTCACAGCAATTATGACAAAATTTCACACAAATGTTTAATATTTTTACTGTGTAATTGGACAGATTGTAATAGTTCAGGTTTATTACAGTCAGTTTTTGATAACAGCTCTCTGCACCTCCACCACTGTGTGTCTTATTGAACCTAAGGTAGAAGTGCAACACCTGTGAGTCTGTATGAGAAACTTGTCTTCAGCAGGACGGATGCCAACACAGGATTTTTATGAAATAAAGACGACAAACTGAGTGTAGGTGCTTGTCTCTCCTACCAGGTGAGTTCTGTGGGGACGAGACAGGGGATCCCCGAGGTGACTGACAGTAGCTGGGGTGAAGTAAGGCATGAGGAGGCACATAAGACATGACTTCATCTTCAAACAGACTGCAGAGGAGAGAGAGGGAGAAATAAATTGAATAAAGTGAATGAATTGAATAGAGTATCTTAGGCTGAAAGAAAGGAAGGAGTGAAGGAAATACATTAAGGAAGGAAAGTGATACACAACCAATTCAATAAGACAAATATGCTATTGGAGGGAGGAAGGAAGGAAGGAAGGAAGGAGGGAACAAACGAAAGAAGGAAGGCGGGAATAAAGAACGGAAGGAAGGGATAAAGGAAGGAAGGGATGAACGAAGGAAGGGTGTCTCACCTTAGCAGCATGACAAGGTCAGCATCTCCTGACAGCCTGGCCAATCCCGACACTCCATCTGTTCGGATCAGTTGCACCTTCTCCCTGTTGTCATAGCAACGTTCAGCTGAGCATGATGTCGGCGACTGTATCCTACAGTTATCAGTTCTCCACATAGAAACCAGTGTGTGTACCTGAGTGAATGGTTGCGGCTGATGTCGGGCTGTCTCTCCTGCAAAATCTCAAAGATGTTGGGTTGTCGAAGAAACGCCACAATCTTGTCGTTGTAAGCTGGAAGACGAGCGAACACAAACTTAGTGGTCACTTCTGATCATCTCTGAGCGGGTGTGTGTGTCCTCACTGCAATGCATTCTGGATGTTCTTCAAGCTTGATTTGTGCACTTCCTCTGATATTGCGTGTGTGTGTGTGTGTGTTTACTGACCCACTGGCACAATGTCTTGGCACTGCCCCCTATTGGCAGAGGTGAAGGTGCTGGAAGGCCGAGGCACGACAGGTGGGCCGGCGTGACGGGTGTCTTCACCCACCTACGGAGACAGGGCGACGTGACTGTGTATTGTAGCTACTAAACAGCTGATTTAACTGTGGACAGTTAAATAACAAGTTACATTTACTCTCATTACTGTCACAAAGTTGCTTGTACTATTTGGTGTATTTTCACCACCCGTCTTAAATGTCTTAAGTGTCTTAAATCAAACACACATACCATGTTGTCTGAAAAAATGCTAGGTCTGGCTAAATGCTAAATGCTAAAATACTAACAGTGACAGAACTAGCAGAGAATCTGGATTTAGAGGCCTAGAATGATGTTCAAACAGGTGTGTGTACACCAGGGCTATTCAATTACAAATTCAATTGGGCCAGATTTTAAAACCGAGACCTTAACCTGGGCCGGACATTTTCAGCGGTCAATAAGCAGGAGGTAATGACAAATTTCAAACCGACACAAATAAATATAATGAAATAAGTGATGTTTATTCATCATTTCCCCTTTAAATTTTTGTATAACGCAGCCACATCAAAAAGTGCATAAAATACATTTCAAGAACTGTAATCGAACTGAGGTAGAAGCAATCCTTTTTCACTTCTGAAATATAAGAATAAACATTTTTTGTCTTATGTAACTCATTAAAAGAAAAAGTGCACATTAATGGTGATAACGTTGTTATCTCTTCTGAAATAAAATAAACATATCTGACACAGAAACATCAAAAAGTGCATTAGAAGTTCATGGAGTTCATGTTATACATCTGCTTTATTCTGTTGTTACTTAATATAAAGCAGCAGCTGTTTGATTTATGTAGCTTAATATTGTCTCTGTTATCTTAATATTGTCTTATAATTTTGTGTGTGTGTTTCTTACCAGTCGTCGTGGGCTGACCTCCCCGGCACTGTGGCTGCGTTGGCGGGTCAGGTGTTGGCGATGAGCCAGGACGCTCGGGGGTCGAGAGCTCTGCAGAGGCAGCCGGGGGTCGATGAAGGTGGTGGCACGGCAGTTATGGTCCACAAAGAAAGGCTGCGCGCGCACACACACACACACACACACACACACACACACACACACACACACACACACACACATACCATAACCATATAAACTCACATAAAACATAAAAAATCATCTTAGTTTCTCATATTTAAATATTTTCATTTCAAAAAATCTTAGTTTCTTTCTTTTGATAGCTCCTTATTTTCCTCTTCTCCTGTGTTTTATTTGAAGTGTTGATCCATAACAAGATATATTTGTGGTTTTAACCAAAAACCTCAATGTAGTTTTACATCCACATTCACTCCTCTCAGTAACAAGAGGTCGGTGAGAGGAGGCTCCGAGCCTCTCTTCTTATTGGCTGACTGTTTTCTGAGTGATCCAATAAAAATACAGCAGATGTCAGGTAAACACTCAGAGAAACCAAATCCTGCAAAGTTGGATGTTGGCTCCAGGTGGGCCGGGCTTGAGGCGTTGACTGTTTTGTTGTGACATCACAAAGTTCCAGAAGTCCTGACAGCTGGTTTTAAGGCTCAGTTTCTGAATACAGGCTGTGTGCATTTCTCTGTGGACTGAGGCTTTGATACTTTCACAGTATTAATATAGAACCTAGACCTGATCTATAATCAAACAACATGGACATCTACCTTTAGACTATATGGACTTTAAAAACGGACATACACACATCATCAAGTTATATTTTGAGATTTTGAAAGATCTTTTTTAATATAAGTTAAATAACAGGAAACAAATGTTGAATGCTGAGCGTATGTGAGACACTGTGATTGGTGCGGGTGTTGCCCTACCTTGCCGGTGTGGTCATGCTTCATCTCCCAGCCTCTGGGAAGCTCCAGCTGTTTGTTGGCGAACATGTTGAGGAAGGCCACCAGGTCCCTGTTGTGCTGGTAGCGCTCGAAGTGGTGAGCATCCCGACGAACCTTACTGATCATATGCTTCAGACATGTGTTGGTGGTGAACATACGGTAGGCACTCTGAGAGACAGATGATGAGGGAGATGAGAAGGAGAAAGTTTTTTAGAGAGAATAAAACAGAGGAGAAGGAAAGACAGACTTTGGCTGGTGCTAAGGCATTAAAATTTAAATTTAAATTATAATAAATGAAAATAAGAATAAAAATAAATAGAAATAAAAGAAAGGAGGAGGAAGTAAAAAAAAACAATTGTCCATACAGGGTTGGAATGCAGCACAGTGAAGAAGTCAGGGCTGGTGAGGAACTTGGCGCTGGGAGACTGAAGCAGCAGAGTGAGGCGAGACCTGGAACTGGACTGAGCCACACTGTTGTCCCTACGCAGCTTTGCAACACACACACACACACACACACACACACACGCATGCACGCAGGCAATATCAGAGGAAGTGCACAAATCAAGCTTGGAGAACATCCAGAATGCATTGTAGTGAGAGGATTACCTGGTATGGAGGGGTGCATGTCAGTCTCGTCTGCCAGCAGCTCATTGGCTGGCTGCTCCTCTGGTCTGTTGTCATTGGTTATCGTCCTGCGTATACTCTGATACCTGCAGAGGTGCGTGCATGTATGTATTAATAACTACAGTGACGATTGAAATTATAAAATCATTATCTGCGTGTGTGTGTGTGTGTGTGTGTGTGTGTGTGTGTGTGTGTGTGTGACCTGCGGTTCAGCTGCTCCATCTGCTGAATGGAGTTGGACCTCTGCAGGGTCTGCGGGGCGGGGGGAGCGGTGGGACGCTGCCACGTCGTGGTTCTATTGACGTGGTCCACATAGAAGATGCGGCCGTGGCTGTCGATACGAGCTTCCCAGTCTGGTTCACACACACACAGTCACAAACGTAAGAACACATACGTTACTTTCTTACATCTGTTGGCTAATAAATAGTTGAGTGAGCGCTCTCGTTGATGACACATGACGAATATCTGCTGAGTAGAAAGCCATCACACAGAAACAAAGGATGACTGCAGTTGTCAATTAAATAATCTCTATGGGAAATTGACCTTTACTTTTCAACTATGATATGAACAACACTGGAAATATTGACTCACTGTGCAAAAGGTTTAGGCACAAAAAGTTAAGCAAAAACTAAACAAATACAGTATCTACACAACTACACAATCATAATAAATACCAAATATATAGGCTACAATCATAAATACCAAAATAAAGTAACAAGAATAGAAAGAAAATAGTCTCTCTTTCTCTCTCTCTCTCCATACATATATGTATATCTATATATATATATATATATATAATGTAATATCATATATTATAAAAATACTACTAGTATACACACACACACACATATACATATATATGATATATTATGCACACTTTCAAACAAGACACACACATTGGGTGGTGTGCAAGATTAGTCTATTAGTTAAATATTATTATTATTATTATTATTATTATTATCATTGTGTGTGAAACTACAGGTCTGTGTTCACAGTGTTATGAATGAACTGTGGTTTATTCGGCAGCTTTTCCTGGTGCGACTGATTTGACTAATTGCATTAGTACTGTACAGAGATAGAAGCGCGCTGTTTGATAGATTAATGCGCTCCAGTGGGGAGACCTGTGGTCAAACTACCCCCCCCCGCCCCCATCCTCACCATCTCCCACCACCTCTGAGAGTGAGAGAGGAGACCTCAGCTGCAGAAGCCTGCACAAACCTGAACGGACGCCTACTCCAACCCACACGTTAATGAGCAAGTGAACGGCCATGCCCCCCCCCCGACAAGATGCTCATGTTTCCCGTGTCTAAATCCGCCACTGAATCAGACGCCTACCTTTCACTGCTGCATAATTGATAAGAATCTAAACACCTAAAGTGTCTTAAACTTTTGCACAATACTCTACGTTGCCAAAGACCCTGTTCCTTATTATATTGTATTGCTATGGCAACCAAAAAAAAGTTGCACAAATGTCCTTTCACCTGCTTTCAATGACATTACAGTCTATTATAAATTATTAATTACATTTTTATTATGCTACTCTCTCTCACACACTCACACACACACATACACACACACACACACACTCACTGGGTGGCAGTGGCTCGTCCACTCTCTGGTAACGACTGATGTCATGGCGGACAGATGGCAGGGAGCGAACAGACTGGTGGCCGTTCACCTGAGCTGTGGTACCTGCACGCACGCACGCACACACACACACACACACACACACACACACACACACACACATGCACGCACACACACGCAATTTGTGTGTGAAGTTTGATTCATGCAGGTAAATAAATAAATAAGCATCTCCATCTCAGCCGTGGCCACCACAGATCTTAGTTTGGCGATGTTCCTCAGCGCGTAAGATGGTGGACATGATTACCAAGTGACAGACACTGGTCGAAAATGACACCTCCAGCACTCAACAGCCCCATGTGTTGCTTTGATAGTTACATTCTCCGGAGCAATTATAAGAGCTTCTGTCTTATTAGCGTTTAGCTGAAGGCAGTGATCAGTAATCTAAACATTCATTTAAAACTGGTGTCAACGTCATCAGTTTCTTAGTTTTCAAAGAATGTCTTCGTTAGTTAGCTGCACACGAGGTAAGAATGTGTGACAATGTGTCAGTGTTGCTGCATAATAAATAAATAAATGAATAAATATATAAATGAATGAATAAATATATAAATTAATTAATTAATTGATTAATTTAAAAAAATCAAATAAATAAATAAATAGGGCCCTTGAAATAAAAAAAATAAACAATAACAACGTGAATGATGGAGCTACAAGCTCACCTGTCTCTCTCTCCCCCACTGTCCCACTCTGACTCTCTCTGGCCCTGCACACTTCCTGGTTCTGGGTCACGCCCGCGGAGGACTGCACGGACCTCCTCCTTCTCCACACCTCCCCTCCCTCCTCTTCCTGCTCCTCCTGCCTGTCCCAGCCACTGGCCTGAGCTCCTGGAATTAACAAGAAGACGTCAGGTGACAGTTCTGGAGGTCACCTGAGCACCGCCCTGACCGCCATAATATATATATATATATATATATATACACACATATTGTACGGTTTTAAATTTTCCTTGGTCCTTATCTCCTGGCTCATTAATAAGATAATTTTCCACCTACCAGCTGCAGAAGCTCCTTCTCCTTGTTCAGCTTTGTTGCTGCTAGTAGGACCAGCTGCTGCTATTGGCCCGTTCGCCTCGCTGCTCGATGACTCCGCCCCCTCCTCCTCTGCCTTTGGAGCCACTTCTTTTTCTGCCTCCACCTCCTGAGGAGAGGAGAGGAGAGAAAACGAGAGGAGGAGAGGAGAGAGGAGAGGAAACAATGAGAGGAGGGAGAAGAGACGACAAGGAGAGGAGAGGAGACAAGAAGAGGAGGAAAGAGGAGGTCTTTCTTGAAGTTTCTCACCTGGATGAGTGACAGTAGACCAAGTTGAGGACTGCAGGGCAGGTCCTGGTTTACAGCTGTCCTGCTGCTCTGCTCCTGACAACTACAGTCCCTCACAGACGCCCCTGGGTCAGAGACCGCAGCCACCTCAGCCCCTGACGCCTGAGAGGAGCAGGAGGCTGTGGAGGTTTCTCCAGCTTCTGCTCCAGCTCCAGCCTCAGCCCCCCCACACTCTGCTATAGGCTGAGCAGCAGAGGATGGACCTGCCTCTACTGTAGCTCCAGACCCAGACCCAGACTCAGACCCGGACCCAGACCCAGACCCAGCCCCAGCCCCAGCCCCAGCCCCAGTTCCAGCCTCAACCCCAGCTGCAGCCCCAGTAGCTGCAGCTCCAGCAGCTGCAGCTCCAGCAGTCCCAGCTGCAGCCCCAGCTGCAGCCCCAGCCCCAGCTGCAGCCCCAGCCATAGCCCCAGCTGCAGCCCCAGCCGTAGCCCCAGCTGCAGCCCCAGCCGTAGCCCCAGCTGTAGCCCCAGCCGTAGCCCCAGCTGCAGCCCCAGCTCCGTTTGAGGCCTCATTCCCCTGCTCAGATTCAGATATAGCTGACCTCCTTGATGAGGACAAGTCTGTGCTCTGCTGTGATTGGTCCCTGTGTGTCTCCTCATCCTCATCTGAGTCTATGTGCAGCATGGCATTGAGCCGTGTGTCCGTTGGAAAGCTAGACCGGAGTTTGGGAGAAGGCCCCGCCAGATGTGGGTCCCCAGGGCTCCTGGGAGCCTCAATAGCATCCAGGTAGTCATTGAGTGACACCTGCCGGTGGGTGTGGCCTCCCAGAGCCACAGGAAGCAGATTGTCCTCTCCCATCCGCCCGGGCTCCCGCCACACACTGTCATCCACATAGTAACAAGTACCGTTGACGACCAGGGAGCCCTCGTCAGAGCCCGTGGGAGAAGGTCCACATGTGACGCGTGAGGACGAGGACGGGTGAGGGAGGTCTTCATCGTCAGAAGGACTGCCGGGGTCGCCGTTCACTGCGCTGCCCAAGATGGTTCCCACTGCATCAGGGGAGGCTTCTGACAGAGCAGAGAACAGAGGGATGAAAGAAGATAGAGAATGTGGATGAGAGAAAGAATCTACATTCACGCTCTGTTACTCTGTTAATCAATTACAGAGCTTTTGATGTTTGGGGTAAAAGAGGGGTCACCACAATAAGAGATCTATTTATTCATAATACTTTAATATCTTCAGCTAATTCTAATATTTAACATTCCCCGCTCTTTTTTGCAACCCCTTCACTTATTTTACATCACAACCGCCCAGCTCTCTTTCAGACTCCGTTTTGAAAATGAATCCATGTTCCAAAGGGTCCACTGGGATCATTTGCTCCTCATACCTCACATAATTTGGAACCCTTGAAATTGCGAAAGAATCAGAGAGTCAGCTCTATATGTGTCCTCACTGGGTGTTTGTAATATTCCTAAAAATTATGTGTTTTTTCTCTCAAATATTTACATTTTCAATTCTCACAATATTACAACTCTTTTCTTGAAATATTACGACTTTATTCTCAAAATTTCAGATTTTTTCTTTTTCCTCAATGCCCTAAAACTCTGTTGTATCTTCTGCTGTTGCATTTTAGTTATTTTCTCTTCAATATTTAAGTTTTTTAAATAAGTGTGTTGGTCTGGCTGCGTGGAGCTGTCCAAGGTGCTGAAAGAGGGATTTCATTCTGGCATGTTAATTAGCATTTAAGTCGTCTCATCTCCTTGTCTTGACCTAAAATCTGAATCACTAGTCACTAGTGTTCTCTTTTTTAATTAAAGGGTGTGCTTCTCATTTACATCACCCCTCAAAAGTACAATGTAGACACATTCAAACATATACACACCCTCATGTCCATTGGAGGTGATGTCCACTCTGAACAGAAGCTGCCCGCTCACATGGTCAGTAGGAAGACGACGACACAGACTGTAGCTGACTGGCTGATCACTGTATGTGGTAAATCCCAAATGCAAAAATGCAAATTAATTATTTAAAAATCATACAATGTGATTTTCTGGATTTTTGTTTTAGATTCCGTCTCTCACAGTTGAAGAGTACCTATGATAAAAATTACAGACCTCTACATGCTTTGTAAGTGGGAAAACCTGCAAAATCGGCAGTGTATCAAATACTTGTTCTACCCACTGTATGTAAGAGGAAAATCAATGACGTCTGCCGCAACCTTTCAAAATAAAGGTTGAGGCTGTCTGAGGCAGCAGGTTTGCTTACATCTAGTTTTATTAAAGCTCCATGAACCTAAATGAAGGAGAATGACTCAACTGAAATCTTTCAACATCAGACACATTTACAGTTTACAGAAGAGGGTCAGAGCTACATGTGAATGTGAATCTGAAAATTCAGACTTTTTTCTCAGAATTCTGAGATTATTCTGATCAGAATTAAAAAAAAAAAAAAATTCTCTTGAAGCCTTAATGTAAATAAAATTCATAATTCTCAGAAATCCAGAAATTCAGAAATCTCATTAAAGTCCGATTAAAGTTTGAGTTTACAGTTAGAATTCTGACTTTTTCTGACTGAATTCTCACTTTAAACTCAGAATTCTCACTTTAAACGATTCTTTACAAAATTAATGTTTTCACATGTGGCCCTAATCCTCTTCCGTAACAGTTAGAGCGAGTGCCATTTATTCAAAAGAGAGGAATATTTTTAAAAGTTTGACATTCACATGCAGTTAGTTTGTGAATTCAGTTTTTGCTTTCCCCAACATCTGACACCATGACCTGTCAACCTATGGGAAACACTACACACACCATACATCATGTTGTAGATCAATATCAAATCAATGCCTGAACAATGAGCTGATTGGGAAACACTGATTGGTATTGAATGAACTGTTGAGTCACTATGGTTACGTGCTAAAGGTCAAACGTCTGTCCATGCTCCTCAGACGTTTCCTCTTTTTGTCTGAGGGCTTGTTAAAAACAATGAAACAAACACAATTTATGAGTGTGTGTGTATGGACTCACTCATCTGTCGGCCCCTCCAGAAGTCTCTGCACAGGGATGATCAGTTGACCCAGAAACCGCTTGATGATTGGTCGGCTCTTGGCGAACTTATCTTTTACTTCAATCTCCAACACGTCGGTCAACAGAGCCACAAAGGTGTACTTCTATCAGAGGAAAAATGGTAAAATTACATTTTTACCTGTAGTATTACATTACCTGGAAATTTGGTATATTAAACTATTTATTTACATTAATGTGTGTGTGTTGTAATCTGAGTTTCTCTGATCTTTGTTGTTAAGTAGCCTGTGTATGTTAGTGCATGTGAGTCCCTAAAGTTGAACCGTTGGTTCCCCCCACATTTATAAACACACAGGCCCCGCCCACAGTTGAGATGGCACAGTGCAGTACGCAGCGTTCAGGTGAAAGTGACCTTCCAGAAAAGAAGAAACCACGTTTTCATCTAAAAAGGCATCAGACAAAAAAAAAAAAGACCAGAGCACAGGCGGACTGACCATGAAGACTACCGGCTCAAATCCTGGTTGGCTGGTGGCCCATCAAAACATCCCAAAGGTTTTTAAAAACTCTTCATCAGCTCCATCGCTGTCTTTACTGGCTCCATCAATGTCATTTGTGCGGCTAGTCCCAATGGATCAGTCCATTCATTAGTGATGGCTACAGTAGACATGATAACGTTAGCTAACTTGTTGTTACCCTTATTTTGAATGTTTTCGGCAAATGTTGCTATCGCTAGCTGGCTATCTGTCAGCATTGCTGCAATGATAGCGTGATTAGCGTAATGGTTGTGGCTGGATTGTTGTCTATCAGACAATCCTGTGTAACTTGCGTCTCTTGTTAAAGGAACATTTGGATTTTTTTTCTTCATATATCAGATTTTTCTACTCTCTGTTATTTGAATTGGAGTGATTCGGTGTTATATTTCCTGAAGAAAGAGAAGACACAAGGAAATCCAAAACACTGTGATCCTTCTCAGGTGTGTATGGTGTGTGTGCTTCAGTAGGCGAGTGTGTTTGTGCTGACCTCCCCGTGCCACACAGGGTTGATGGTGTTAGCTATGATGGAGGATCGTCTCTCCTGGCCGTGGTGGGTGAACTTGGGAAGTCCACTCCTCTTCCCAGGCTTGATGGACATCTTCAGGTAGGGGTCTGGGTTGAAGAACATGCCCTTCTTCAGGCCCACTGCCCGGATGTCTGGAGAGGAAAGCACACATTTATATTCATAAATATATGGACTATCACTACATGACAGTTTAACTGAGTCGGTCCTCTCACCTGATAGGGTGAAGCTAACAAGTTTCCGGCAGTGCTCAGCCCCTGATTGGTCGTCCACTTGGCCTTCACTGCCCACCTGATGGGAAAACAACCAATAGGAGAGCAGCAAGAGTGAATTACTTATATTCCCATTTTTAGAATGAACTGATTCACACCTAAAAGCACTTTAAAAAAGTGTGACACAAATTTTTATTCAGTTAGAAGTGACTTCCTGATCTGAAATGCTGGGAGCCAATCAGATGGCAGGATTAAGGATTAGAGAAAATGTGATACACAGATAAACTGGGGAAGAAGTTAGAAAGAGAAAAGACTAATAAACAAACACACACACACATATACACACACACACATACCGGCACTCCAGGGTTCTTGACAGTGATACAAGGTGTTGTTGCTCTTAACGCCCCACTCACACCATGATAGTATTTAAAGCAGATCTTCGTCTCAGCTGTGGAGAGAACACACACATATGATCATCACTGTGACATCATAAGGGGTTATTCTCCTCATGATGAGTAAGTCCACTCACGCTCCATGAAGTAGGGTCCCGGCTCCAGTCTCCACACAATCTGTCCTCTCTGGGTGCCGTTCACTCCGCGGTTCTTGGAGTCCCAGACATTGGCCACACATGTCTCATCTAAGAAACACACACACATATGCAGTATATTAATACAGCTGAACTCACAATGTTTCTGTTTCTGTTGTCATGACAACGGAACAAGCTTGAAACAGTGACTGAAACGTGCCGCATTAAGACGACATGTTAACCAGCTTGCTGCTAAAATCCAGGTAGCTAGTTAAGGTAGCTAAGGTTTGTCCAAAAAGTAGCTAGAGTGAATAAAGGGTCTGAAAAGTTGGTAAATCTAGCAGCAAAGGTGCTAAGTTGGCAACACTGCTTGTTTGGTCCAAATCATTTTGAAGTAGTAACGTCAATCAGTCAGTCAACATTTGCGGTCCAGCCAAAAAGACTTTTGTAACATGTTGGATATTTGACCTCTTCAGGCCACAACCAGTTCAATGAAACCGTGTGAGAAGTTTAGAGTAGAAATGTCTCTTCAGTGGAACAGTAGACTGTAAATAAAGATGGACGTAGCCTCCATGAAGAGCGGTTTTGAAGCTCAGAGTGAGCTCCACTGTCGCCATCTTGGCAGTGTCTGACTCCCCTCCTCCTCCTCCCAGCTAATCAAAAAATGCACCTTTAATCTGGTTTGCATTGTATTTCAGAAACTTGCATGTTTTCTTAATGTAAAGTCTTTATCTTAATAAATTCTACTTAATCCTACTAAACTTAAGTAGATAGATAAAAGTGTAAAAACTACAATCCTACACAAAGTGTAGAGGTACAAAGTAACATACCTCGTTATTTTCCACCACTGCAGATACTCGGTTTGTATTGTTTTGGGGATTTGACATGAGAGGTTAAAGGAGCGTGTTGCACTGACAAACCATGATGCAGGTGAGCGGTACCTTAGGGGAACTCTTATGACCCGAGGGTCATAAAGCTCATCCCTGTCTGTACGTCCTGTGTAAAGGATGAGAAATGGCCCGTGTCCTAATGGATCAATTCTGATGTCTGTCAGCCACACAGAGCGCCACATAAACACAAAGTCCTTGCCCTCTGTCACTCCAACTCACCATCAATAAACCCTGAGCCTTTGTCAGTGACAGCCATTCCCCATACACACATACACACACACCTGACACCTGATAACCCTCTAATCATCCATAATCAAGCAGAGAAGAACCTGTATGCACACACAGGCCAGACAACAGCATGAAGTTATGGAGCTAAGGCGGCTCCACGAGGAGCATGGCCATTAGCCAGACTGGAGACAGTGCTCACCTCTGGGGAGACCCCACCACCCCCCACCCCATCTGGATCAGCGCTGCTGAGGAGCTGCAGAGAGGTCGGAGGGATGGAGAGATCACCTTTCACCATCTCTCACTCCTTCTCTTTCACACACAGAATCGCTCACCTGTGGTTTGAGATGACCTTAGCTATTGTGAAATGGTGTGTAATTCACACCTGGGCCTGAGAAGTACAGGGCATCACCCAGCCCAGCAGACACAGACTGCTATCAGAGACAGCCTTTAATCAACAGAGTAATATGATGTTCTTATGATCCACATTGAACCTGATCCTGTCTTAGTCGTGCTGGGAGCATCAGATTCCACATCTGTATTAAGAAGAGCACAAAGGCAACTTCTTTTCTATGCTCTGAAAACAGCCAACAAATTGATTTTGACGTCCTGGAACAAAGAGGTTCACACCTTTAAGCTGTTACACCCTCCATCTTGTAAAAATAAGGTTTGCTCTGAGCAGCAAAGAGTCCAATTGAATAGGATCTGGCTGCCTCTCGTCTGTTAACCTAAGAAACAACCAATAGTGGACATTCCTTGTGTAAATGATTGTTCATTACTACTTTTCAGCTTGTGTTTTTACCCAGAGTTTATGGGCTCAAAAGTAATTGGACACATGCACATGAAGTCATATTTAATGTTTTGTTGGCCCAGCATCCAACCTTGCAGGATTTGGTTTCTCTGAGTGTTTTACCTGAAATCTGTTTTTATCTTAATTGGATCATTTAGAAAGCAGAGGAGAGGCTCAGAGCCTCCTCTCTTCTGATTGGCTCACCGACCGGCTGTTACTAGAGCTCCAGAGAGAAGCCTGAGAGAGGAGATATAAAACTACATTGAGATGGGTTGCAGTTCTTAAAACCACAAATATATCTTCTTATGGATCCACACTTAAAACACAGAAAAAGTGTTTAAAATATAAAACATGGGGCCTTTAATAATGTATTAATTACTGTTGGACAGGGCTAAGCTAGCTATTTCCCCCTGTTTCCAGTCTTATATCAAGCTAACTGGCTGCTAGCTTTAGCTTCATATTTAGCTTGTAGACATGAGAGTGGTATCAATATTCTCATTCTCATAATGTATATATACATAATATATAAACTATAGGTATAAAAAGGAGGATCCAACTGGCACTTAGAGGTAAAAAACTTCAACTTCAATTCCCCAGAAATCCTGAACACCAAGATGGTTTTTGGTTCTTAAATCCACAAATATTTCTTCTTATGGATCAACACTTCAAAATAAAACACAGGAAATTAGTAAAATATGGGACCTTTAAGATATTAAATTAGGCTAAAATTATTTCTGCTTTATCATTTTAAAATAATGGATGTGCAATGGAGGGTCCAAAGAACATATCAATAGAGGAGGGTCTTGCTGTTTTAAAAAGTGATTCCAATAACTTTCTTACAGTGTCCTGTAGCTCTTTAATGCTACTGATGCTGAGTCAGAATCACTTCTTTATGAGAATAACCTACTTCCTTTCCCTCTAACCCCCCCCCCCCACACACACACACACACAATCAATCCATTAGCCGTTTAATGTAGCAGCAAAGGGGCTGATGTAATGCTCTAACCTTGAGGAGATGAGTTACAAGTCACAACCTCTTCAACAGTGCTATCAGATTACTTTCCTAAAGCAATTTTTATATGCCAGCAGACACACAGGAGGATAGCTGTGTGGACAGACAGAGAGACAGAGGGAGTGAGAGACAGGCTGTACGCTAGAAGACCGACAAGATTCATAATGATGAGCCAGCAAGAACAGACTAAAATGGATGTCTATTCAAGAACTGGCTGCGCTGTGATGCTACAGCAGGTTTGTCGAGCTGTACTAAGTGAGTAACAAAGCATCAACCTCCAAGGCTGAAATATGTGAAGTGCCAAATTTCGCAGTTCCTCTAATGGCCACTAGAGTCTGGCTCCAACAGTGAGTCAGTCCCCATAGACTCCCATGTTAAAATGTCCAACTTTACAGCAGAAATAAACATGTTTACAGCCTGGTACAACAACAGTTTTGGTCTCTAGAGCTAATTTCTTCCTTCATGACAGCTGTTTATATAACTCACCTCTTTATATTTAATTAAGAATTAAAGTTATATATATTTGAGGGTGTGGCCTCCGAAAAGTCTCAGCTCCACACACGCCCCTCCTGTTGCCCATTTTTGGATCAGCTGGGAGTTAGGGGTGGAGTCAGGCACTGCCAAGATGACGACAGTGGAGAGGCTCACTCTGAGCTTCAAAACTGCTCTTCACAGAGGCTAAGTCCATCTTTATGTACAGACTATGGTTCCACCAAACGTACATTTCTACTCTAAACTTCTCACATGGTTTCATTTAACTGTTTTTGGTCAAATTATAAACGTCTTTTTGGCTGGACTGCAAATGTTGCTGACTGACTGACTGACTGAATGAATGACGTTGCTTTTTCTAAATGATTAATACCAAACAAGCAGTGTTGCCAATTTAGCACCTCTGCTGCTAGATTTACAAACTTTTCAGATTAGTCACTCTAGCGACTTTTTGGATAAAATATAGCTACGTCCGCTGGCACGCCTGTCTATATTTACCGCCCAGCAGCTGACGTGAATGAGCTTCTAACTTTCTCTCGAAGTGATCGTGATATATAATTGAGGTGGGTGAGCGTATGCTACCCACAAACTGGTATGCACTGAAGTCTCAGCTCCAAACACACCCCTCCTCTTTGCCCATTTTTGGATTGGCTGGGAGTTAGGGGCAGAGTCAGACACTGCCAAGATGGAGATGGCAGAGCAGCTCACTCTGAGCCTCAGAAACATGTGGGTGATGTCACGGAGTCTACATCCATCTTTATTTACAGTCTGTGGTAGTAACCTAGCATTGCACCTAAGGCTAGGAAGCATACTGTTATGTGGAATTATGGGTTAATGTGTGTTGTATCCCCTCAGTGTACAGGAGCCGATCCTGAATGCTACAACATCAGAGTTCATGCTCTTTCCTGTTTTAAAATGAGTCAGCTGTAAACATTAAAAGCTGGATACTGACTGCGATAAACAGCTGATAAAATCCACCAGCAACAGTTGCTATGGTCACAGATTTTGAGTTTGCTCACCAATGTGGTACAGGCCAATCCAGTCAGTGGCATCTACTTCCTCCTTGATGTCCCAGGAAATGACCAGGTGGCCATGACCTAGAGTCAGCTGGTGAGTAGACGCCGTGAGTGATGAGCGACTGTCTGACGTCACCAGGTCCGTGTCACTGTTGGCCCGCTGGAGGCCCAAACCCGCCGCTTCTGGCTGGACCCCTGACGACATAGAGGAGGAGGAGGAGCCAGAGGTGGAGGCCACAACTGCGCCCTGCACCGACAGGCTGCAAAGGTTGTCGGGCCCGATTGTGTATGGCCTAGTGTGCGGCGTGCGCCGACGCACCGCCAGCAGGTGCTCCCGGGCACTGCTGTTTGCCGATGATGAAGACGACGGGGAGGAGGAAGAGGAGGGGGAGGTGGTGGTGGTGGCAGCCGTCGCCATGGCTACCACAGAGGAGGCGGTGATGGAGAAGGGAGGGGGTGAAAAGCGAGGAGGGGGAGAGTAAGAGAACTGGTGGTGGTGATGGTGATGATGATGATGGTAGTGGTGGGGAGAGGAAGGGGCAGACAAGGTGGAGGGAGAGGGGGAGGATGACTGGGGCCGGGGGCGAGGGGGGAGGACAGCTGTTGCAAGGGAGGGGCGAATGTTGGAGGCCAGGTGAGTGCGTCAAAGAAAGAAAACAGAGGAGGAGGGGGGAAGGAAGTAGAGCCTTTCAGCTTAAAAGCGCCATCACTCAGCCAAAGTGAAGATGCACTGAATGGTTGGAAAAAAGGGAAAATGATGGAGGGATGGAGATACAGAAGGTGGACTGGTAGAGCGGCTGTCCAAGGCACCTCTACTTTAAAAAACAGCTGATTGAACAGTCTGGATTTTGGTTTCCTCACTTCACATATCTTTGGCCGTGCTGGCGGTGATTTGAGGAAGGCACTTCAGAGTTCCCAGAATTCACTAGTCATCATTCAATGTGGTCTGAGGCGGGAGCTGAACCTTCTCTCTGATTTTGTGATCAGTCATTTAGTCTTAGTACCCTGCAACGCCTGTCCATTTTGACCAAAGCAGACCAATGCCTTGCTTGTGGGCACTAGAGTACTTTGTAAATCTTGAAGATATCCATTATTAAAATAAAGGGAGGAGATGGAGATGGTGAGTCAAGACGGGAGGAATGAAAGGCAATCCAGGAATCCTTCCACTCGTCTGTCCTGGGTGGAGGGGGTGATGATAGGACAATCCTACAATCCACAGGGAGAACAGGGGTGGAGAAAGGTTGGAGACCTATAGAAGAGAGAGAGAGTATAGATAAGGTGAGTAAGGGGAAGAGGGAGACGAGGGGGAGCAGAAGAGGCATTTTGAGAAACAAATTTATTTGCTTTTTTTACAAGATTTAAGGGCAATACCTGTCTCATGTCTGTGTGTTAAAAGTCCCATACAGTCTAAAGGTAGATGTCCATGTGTTGTTTGATTATAGATCAGGTCTAGGTTCTATATTAATACTGTGAAAGTATCAAAGCCTCAGTCCACAGAGAAATGCACACAGCCTGTATTCAGAAACTGAGCCTTAAAACCAGCCGTCAGGACTTCCTGAACTTTGTGATGTCACAACAAAGCAGTCATCACTTTCAAGGAAAAGTGTAAAATATGGTACATTTAAATAGTTCAAAGATACACCTGCCTCTATAGAAATGTTATGGATGAATACATTGTATGTCTTTTGTTTAATCCATACAAAAACAGCAGTGTTTCTGCCAGGAATTTAGATAGTGGTAATTAATTAGGTATTGAATGAAATTCTTTCCAGATTTCATGCCAAGTTTGGGTTGGATCTGTTACAGCAAGTATGAAAACACAACTTTTTAGCTTAGGAGGTGCTGGTAGGCATATTTTTCAGCTTTGCATCCTGCTTCCACCATTTATGCTAAGCTACACTACCCATCTGCTGTCTCCACCCTCATATTAAGCCAACAAACATGAAAGTGGCATGGCGTCAGTCTTTGCATGTAACATTCCGCAAGAAAGTGAATAAGCTATTTCCCAAAATGTAGACCCATACCACTGAAATACGAGAAAACTGTGACAGCCTGTGAATCATTTCATACACATGAGCCCAAAATTCAGCCTTTGACAACTTGATGACATGAATTCTCACTTTCTCTAAACGTCACATCACTGATGTTACTGACAATGACTTAACAACACAAAGACAGGCCACACAATGACTTTGTAAAGATGTCTCCACCAGCAGCTACTGTAGAGGTCAAAAGGTTCAATTCTATTTCCTGAAGGATAGAAAGAACACATACACACACATACACACACACACACACACACTCTCCTCTTCATTTTCTCTCTTTTCCTTCTCCTTTCTTTCAAATACCAAATGCATGCACTTAGGTTGCCATGGTGAGAGGTGATAACTCGTCCCAGCTTCCGCACCAGTCACGTCACACTGCCGCCCCCTCTCTCCATCCTTCTCATCACTCTTGAGACTGAAGGGATGTGCACTCACAAACAGGCTCACCATGCCTGGAGGCCTCGAAATTAGCTGTGCAATGTGCTGCTGATAGAGAGCGAGAGGAAGAGAGGGGTACATAGAAAACAACTGTATTGCTACCGGGTGGTTCCCAGAACAACCTCAGTTCTTCGTGGCAAGATGTTGGAAACTTTCCTCTGGGACTCTGATCCATGCTGACATGACTGCATCTCATCATTTCTGAAGATTTGTCGGCTGCACAGTCATGCGGAAAATCTCCTGCTCTACCACATCCCAAAGGTGTTCTAGGACGTAGCCATTAGGAGATGGTCAGCAACAATACTCTGATAGGCTGTGGCATTCCACCCATGATTAACTGGTATTAAGGGTCCAAAGTGCGCCAAGAAAACATTCCCCACACCATTACACCACCACCAGCCTCAACTGTTAACACAAGGCAGGTTGGGTCCATGGAATCATGGACATTCTTTGTTTCTGGCACCAGTCAAGAGTAAAAACTCTAGAGACTTGCATTCTCTCTCACATCATACCCAAGAAGGCTGGAGTTTGTAATCGCTGCCAAAAGGTGCTTTAACTAAGCACTGAGTAAAGGGTTTGAATACGTTCGAAAATTCTGTGTTGGCTTTGTCATTATGGGGTATTGAGTGTAGATTGATGAGGGGAAAATGTATTTAAACAATTTTAGCAGGAGGCTGCAACATACCAAAATGTGAAAACAGTGAAGTGGTCTGACTTTTTCAATGCTACAAAAAAATAAATAAATAAATAAATCGCTATATAAAATGACTCTTTGGCCTCAATTTATTCATGAATGTTGCCTGGAAAAATCCCTCCTTCCTGTCAGTTTGTCAGTCTCATTATAAGGGCATCTAATGAAGTCAAATGTAAGTTGTAGAAGTAATGTGCCCACATGAACATGTTGTGATACATAATTATTACGGTGGCCCAGATCTGTCAACACAATCTAGATCTAAAACATGAAAACAAAAACCACAACACGAATACAATATTTGTGTGGCTTTTACATTAGTGTTATGGCTTCACACCCACACATCTGGGCAGATAGTGTTGTAAATAGCTCAGGGCAGACGCCAGTGGTGAACATGGCGTCGCTGGCAGTGTTTAAAGTCACTTGTGCCCAAATAGCTGACACACACACACACACAGACACACACACACACACACGTTGGGATGCTTTGTAGTTATAAATTAAAGCACACTCACACTCGCTTCACTCTCTCCTCGGATATTCACCTCAAAAAGTCCAGCACACTCACAAAAATTAAAAACCCTGCTGCACACACACACACACAGTTGCCATCTCTTGTCTTTATAAAAATAATCATAAACACACACACACACATGAACACGGAGCTCTCAGGAGGTAAGTGTCCTTGATCCAGCAGCAGGATTAAAACAGAGAATGGGGGGATTTACTGTTGATAGAACATCTTCTCTAATCCACTGCTTTACCACAAGGCTTCAATCTGCAGTTGGAGTCCCGGCTGTCGGCTAACTCTGCAGCCATGTTTCCATCCAGCTGTCCGACAAGTATCAGCTCAACAGATTTTTGTTTGAATAAAGTTCAGATCCATCAGCTGTGCTTCATACAGGTATATAAAGAAAAAGGTCTCCAGCATTTGTCGGTATTGTCTACTAGTTCTTAGTGTTCCAAGTTAATTACACACTAACTTATACTATGAAAGTCATGTAACTTCCACTGGGTCACCTGACGTATGTCTTTCTCTTTTGGATAACTTATTGCATAAACCACAGGACTGGTTCTTTTCCATTTATGAACACACAAACCTATTGTCACTTGGCATGTGGAATAAAAATGTACCTTAAAGGAGCTATTTGTAAGTTTTTCTACTGCCACATAGCTAACGTTAGCATAACCAGCTGTTTACTCACCAGTCTAGAAGAAATGTTTTAAGTTCAACATCAAACTTCATTCCTTTACTTACTAAGAGCTGTCTCCAGGAGGTGGAAAGAAACCCTGATGTTTTGCTAATATTTCTATCACTTATTTTCTTCTATTTTAGTTAGCACATAGTTACATATCCCCTTATATGCCACCCTATATGGGTTTGACAATTTGTTTTTATTTTATGTATGTATATATTTCATATATGTACATATAGCATTTATGTATGGGGGGTCATAGTTGTGTCCAGTATTCCCTCTCTTTCTTTTAGCTCTGTTTTTGGTCTCCACCGGCTGCTGTGGAAATATCTGTCTCTTTAGCTGCTCGACGCTCCACTAATGTTCATGAGGTAGTCTTTAGTCTGTCTGCTGTCTGCTTATCAGAGCTCTTTAACTGAATCATCTGCATCTGAAAATGACACTGATGAGATGACACTGAAACAAAACAACAACATTGTGGGACGTAAAACCAGAACAATCAGCTAAAAGATGAGATAAACACTCAAACCTTTGACACTACACATCATCATTTGAGCCACTGCTGATAAAAAATATTGATTAGTGCAAAGCTTTACAAACTATGTCAAAATGTACTATTTTTAACACCAAAAGATTTAAACAAAAATAATTCTTTGACCTCCAAAATGAAATATTTCTTTGTTTTTTGTTTCTAATTCTGCCAGTATGTCCACCCCAAACCTGAAATGTCAATTTAATATTTCTGTGTAAGATACTGTTACTGCACTCTTTCCTCCAGTAGAAGCTTCAAGTCTGTGGGTTATTTATAAATGGTGAGACTGAGACTAAATATACACACAACCTGGTGAAAACAGACCCAGGCACTGACATCAATACACTGTCTGCAAGCATTGGTGCTTCTTACACAGGCTGTATGCACAAACCTGTATCGGATTTTTTGCTACTACTTTCATCTGACATTAAGACAAAGGAGGGATGGGCAGATGGTGCGTTCACATTCGCAAGTGTTTCCTAAATGTTGGGCTGGAGGACATACAGGGTTTCTGGT